TTAGGCAATGAACTAGTAATATGTGTTGTCTCCTCGGGCGGGTCACCCAGGCAGAAACTGACACATCCAGGTACACTGAATGCACATGAAGGAAGGAGAGGACCAGACAGAAGACTGCCTGCTCTCAGTACTTGAGGGTATGATCCCTAAATTCCAGTCCCTCCTAACATTCATCCCGCTTTACTCTGTATCTACAACCAGTGGTTTCTCGTTTCCGTGGTTTTGCTCAAGTTTTCCTCTGTCTGGTGTCCGTTCCTACCTTCCTCCCTCTCCACTAAGATATTCTTTTTTCTCATTTTTTTTTGAGAGAGAGAGAGAAAGAGAGAGAGAGAGAGAGAGAGAGAGAGAGGGTATCTGCATGTGCATGCACAAGGGAGGGGCAAAGAGAGAGAGAGAGAATCTTAAGTAGGCTCCACACTCCGTGTGGAGTCCAACCCAGGGCTCGATCTGACAACCCTGAGATTGTGACCTGATCTCATCTTATGAGATTGTGCTCAGGCTTCACCCCAGTGGCACCTCTCTCAGAAACTATTCCTGACATTCAGAATGGGTTCTCTAGTGAGGCTTTCAAGCGAAACTTAAGTTTGGGGGCCCTCACTTGCATGGGTCCCTCACAAGCCAGTGGACCAGGCCTTAGTAGCATTTTCAAAATGAAGATGTGTTTCTAAAATAAGATGTGTAGAAGTAAGATATTCTAGCCCTAATTATTTCAGACTCTCCACTTCAACTACCCTGCCAATGAACTTTCTTCTTGTGTCTGGTAGTATGGAAGTGACTGTGAGCATTTGGGGGAATCAGGGTAAAGGGGCATTGAGTTTGGAACACATTGGCTTGGTTTAATGGAATAATATATTTATGTGGTTGTCACGTATAGAAATGGTGTATCAGTCAGGGTTCAGCCAAAGAAAGAAAACCAGTAGGAAATATTATTATGATAGATAATAGAAGGATGGAAAACTTTATAATATGACATTATAAAGAATGTCAACAAACTGATTAGTGATTATCATCAGATTCAAAGGTATTTATGGTTACTTGTCATGCACACACATACACACACTCAAAACAAATACTTTGAGTATTAGTGCTTATATATGAATGAAATTCCAGAGGTTTCCCATATTTGACTATAACCCTTAAGTTTATACTATATTATCAACAAGTTATATAAAGAAACTATCAAAGAATTTTTTAAAATTCTGCTCTATTGTGGTGAAGACTTGTCTTCTATTATCTTTTGATTCCCTATATAAAAAATATTGCAAAACTATGGCCATATAAAGGGTGTGTGATGTTTAATTTCATGTGTCCACTTGGCTGGGCCATGGGGCCCTGATATTTGCTCAAGCATTATTTGGGATGTTCCTATGAAGGAGTTATTGTGAATGAGATTAACATTTAAATCAGTGGACTTTGAGTAAAGCAGATTGCCCTCCCTAGTGCAGATGAGGCTTGCCTAATCAGTTGAAGGCCTTGATAGAACAAAGACTGACCTTCTTTGAGTGAGAGGAATTCTGTCAGCAGATTGCCTTCGGACTCAAACTGTAACTCTTCCCTGGGTCTTCAGCTTGCTTAATCCAGTACATTTTGGACTTACCAGCCTTCCACAATTGCACGAGCCATTTCCTTAAATATATCTTTCTCCATTTAGATAGATGATAAGTAGACAGGTGATAGATGGATGGATGGATGGATGGATAGATAAATAGAAAGACAGACAGGAATATCCTATTGGCTCTGTTTCTCTGGAAAACTCTGCAAAATACAAGGGACAATTAAAAATGTTATAGGCTAAAATGAGGCCCCACTACCTACCCCAAATTCAAATGTTGAAACTCTAACCTCAGAGTATGGACCTCAGAGTATGACTGTGGAGATAGGATATTTAAGGAGGGTATTAAGTTAAAAATAAGGTCTTTATTGGGGAGCCTGGGTGGCTCAGTCGGTTAAGCATCCTACTTCGACTCAGGTCAGGATCTTGTGCTTTGTGGGTTCAAGCCCAGCTTCGAGCAGTGGGCTGACAGCTCAGAGCCTGGAGCTTGCTTCAGATTCTGTCTCGCTCTCTCTCTGCCTCTGCCCCACTCACATTCCATCTCTCTTAACAAATAAACTTAAAAAATTTTAAATATGATTTTTAAGGTGTGACTTGGTCCAATCTAACCGGTATCTTTATAAGAGCAGGTAGGACACACAGAGAGATACCGAGGACTCCTACACATAGAGGGACAGCCATGTGTAAGCCAGAGAGAGAGGGAGCAGAGAAAACCACCCCACCAGGACCGTGACCTTGGACTTCCAGCATCCAGAACTGTAAGCTGTAGGAACTCTGAAAGAAAACAAACTTCCATTGCTTAAGTACCAGTCTGTAGTATTCTCTCATGGTGGATCCTAGAAAATGAACAAAAAGTAGCTCAGGCAGTTAATTATTAAAAACAAAGTACAATTATTCTGAACTTATAATGTTTGCTGTATGTGTCGACTTTAAAAAATTTTTAATTTCTCACTTCTTTTCTCATTTTGAATGATTTTTCACTTTTATGCTTTTTTGTATTATTTTTCTTCCAAAGTGCCCCGTCCCTCCCAAGTTAACTCCCCAGGCCCACAAAACCTGTCTGTCACACTGCTGATACCATGTCTGCATCTGTCCCTGTTCAATTATCTTTGGTGTATTTCAAAGTGTCATTATGTGAAGGGATGGATGTGTTACCTAACCTTGCTAAAGTCATCATGTTATAATACGTACATATATCAAGTTATTATGTTGTGCATCTTAAACTTACATGATGTTATATGTCAATTCTATCTCAATAAAGCTGAAAAAGTATCTTCAGCATATTTCTACCAAGTCATCCCCACATCGCTGGAAAATGATCTGTGTCTAGCACTGGTCCTTAACCAGATTTGAATCTCCAAGAGTCAGCTCGATGACTGGCACATGTAAGAGGTGCTCCAGAAATATCTGTCAGGTGAACGGGCAAATATTCAGACAGATGCACTAGCAAATACTGAAAGGTGAATTAAAAATCTGCCAGTCTCTATGGACATCAGCTTTATTTTTAGAGTTCAAGTTACAGACTAGTTGCATTGCCTGCGCTCAACTGGGGAAAAACAATACCCTTAAGAATCTTCCACCTGCTGGATCCTGATGCCAACCTAAAGCAAGTACAAAGCCACTAAGAACATTTAAACATCTACCGCCAGATAGAAATTCTGGTTAAGACACAAAACAGCTCAGTTATACTAACCAAAACCCAAACTGCATAAAACTACTCTTTTCCCCCCTATACTGCTCTCCCCTCACCCCCAAAATGCCCTAGATAGTTTAGTATTGTGTTTCGGTCCATGTGTAGACACAAATGGCCTAACTATTTATGATTGAGTGGATAATGTGAGTGTGATGTATAACGCTCAACATTCTGCCAAATACGGAATGTTTCTTGCAAAGGGAAAACATTCAAGTCTGAGATACGTGTTTGAAACCCAAAATGTTTCCTGTGAAGATGCAGCTCTCAGTTATAATGAAAATGACTCGTGTAAACAATCTTTAAATCACACACACTTATATACTTCTCCTTATTCTGTATTTCTAATTGCCTCTTGTATCTTGAGGACGAAAATACGTGTATTAGGAAAGGGATATATATATAGAGAGAGAATATATAGTATATATATTAGGAATATATTAGTATATATATATTAGGAACATATAGTATTTCTATATATAGCTTTTTATATATATAGAATATTATATATTGTAGGTATATAGCATTCCTCATATATATACTAATAAATATATACACTAACATTCATAGCTTATATAACGTATGTAATATGTATGTATGTAACATATATATATATATATATATGCATATATATGAAAGGCATTTCTGTAGGATAGTTCACTACACAGAGCTGTGCCAGTACAGCCGTCATCTCTGTTGGAACTTCTTCAAGTGGAATCTCGTTTGTTCTTACCAAGAAATGAAAAGCAATTTGTTTTCTAGTGTTTCAGGGATGAAAGGGAATTGTTTGTGCTCAGCAACCTTTTCCACAATTGCCTCCCTCTCACTTCCTATCTCTTTCCATCTGTTATGCATCTTAGTTGGGGTATTAAACCCCACCCTATCCCTACCCAATGTTCTGCTTCTTAATCTTTTCTGAACTATAGACTTACCTGAAAATATGCTATTTTCTTCCCAGAAAAAAAGAAGGCACAAACACAAATTGGCACAATGCGATTTTTTGCACACTCATAGACCTCTTAATGCCATCCAAGGAGTCCCATCCAGAGACCTCAAGTGAGGAGCTCCCACCTGTGAGCGGACCCTTGAGGAAGACAAGGATGAACTGATAGTGTAGTCCCTGTGTGAGATGCAAAATCTCCAAGTATTATACCATGTACATGAAGCTTTATGTAAGGCAAACTTTTCTTTTCCTTCACTTTTTTTTAGGAAGATAGAGAGAGCGTGCATGTGTGAGCCAGGGAGGGGCAGAGGGAGGCAGGGGTGAGAGGGAGAGGGAGGCAGAGGTGGGAGGGTGGGAGAGAGAGAGAGAGAGAATGAATCCCAAGGAGGCTCCATACTCAGCACAGAGCCTGACATGGGGCTCAATCCCATGACCCTGGGATCATGACCTGAGCTGAAATCAAGAGTTGGATGCTCAACCAGCTGAGCTGCCCAGGTGATCCCTAAGGTAAAATTTTTAAAAGCAAAAAGGAATTATCAAAGTGACAAAAAGATATTTAGAGATTCTGATTGTGGACTTTGGAGTGGCATCCACTTTTACAGTGGAAGATCTGGGGAGATTATGTAAGTCACTAAGAGAAAAAATTCATTGGGTACATAGTGCTTTAGCAACATGTCTTTTCCTACTTTAAAGAATTTACCTACTAATAAATTAAATTGGTTATTTTCAGGGGAAAGTTAAATATAAAGGAAATAAATAAATAAGTCACAGTTAAAAGAAAATTTATCTTTACGAAGAACACCAAAACACAAATATATTATAAATAGACCTTGTCTTTGATGTTTATTTCACATTATCTAAGTACACTCAGTTATGCAAATTTACATGTGTATTTCACATCTTTGCATTCCTGATATACATATAACAGGACAAAGAACACGTCTGCAATATTCAGCCTTGAACACCCTGCTCAGGGAAAACAGGTTCTCAGCTGCCTCATCTTCCTGCACATGTACAAATGCAACTCTAAACAACTGACTTAAAAGTCAGGATTTGGTAGGAGGAAAATGTGACTAAATTTTTATGCCACCCGAAATAACAAAGAACCAGTTATTTGTACTCCATGTTCAAAACGGTCTTCTAAGGACCAAATTACAATTCAATAGGTAACATTTCTTTGGGAGTGCCTTCAACTATTTTGGGAAGCTTAGGCATTTGGGCTTCTTCTAAGCGCTCTGTCACATGCAGCCAACATGACCTACACACACGCGAGGCTCAAATGCTGGCATTCTGGTGCTGTGTGTTCACCCGAGATATTTTTAGAAGTGATCACCAATATCATTACCTCTCTTTCATGAAAATACCTTGCCAGGCTAGGAAACGAGCGATTACTTCTTCAATTAGGCAAAGGAAAAGGACAGGCCAGTGCAATACAGTACTAATTGTAAAAGAGACAATCACATTGAATTAAAGAACCTTAACATTTTAGTTATAATGTTATGAAATTCAAATATATCGAAATCACATGGTGAGACTAGATGCCTGCATGTTCGTTCTGTTCGATGTTGCCCACGAGATCTTTCGTATCACTGGTTCCCGGACTTGACCTACTGTTAAAATAGAGAGTGTTTTCAAAAGTGTTCTCTTGAGGTAAGTGCACACGTCTCTTCTTATAAAAGAAATACGCGGCGAGGCCAGCACCTGTTACGATCAGGAGGGCAACAACGACTACAACTCCGGCCACGTTGGAAGCTGGTTTGGAAGGGTCCATCTTCCTCGGGTCAGCTGGAAATAAACAAACTCATCAGGATACCAGTGGGCGGAGGCAAAAGACGGAGCGCTATACGAAGAACAATACAAGTTTCTCTTTGGAAAAACTAAACTCAATGTATATTCTTTCATGTCAGATGCTCTTCGACATCTGTCAGACAGAAATGCAGGACATGGACACAGGAGTCTGGGTGACATAAAGGATTATTTTAACTGTTAAGATTAGCATTTAGTTGCAAGGGTATTTCATCTCTGAGTTAACCAATGTTTTAAAATATTTATCGCTGTTTGAAAAGCATTTAAGGCTGCTGACAAATACATCAGATGAAGATAAAGAGACTAGTGATAATAATGATGGTTGTTAAAAAGCAAGAAAAAAATAGGGAAAAGAGAAAATCTGAAGAGTGGAAATTTGAAATCATGTGTATAATTAAACAAATAATACCCATAAAGTGAATTAGGAGGTTGCAGGCAGACCATAAATCTGCGAGTTTGTTTTAGCTGCCAACAAAATTAGTGAAATAAATTGGTTACCTCATCAAGTTGTCTATAAAATTAAAATTTAAAACGTTGATTCAAAAAAATGAAAATAAAAAACCCACAAAGATTCCTGAGAGAAATTTCTCCCCTGGGTTCCAAAAGGTAACTCTGTAACACAGCGGTACCTTCAATAATATCTATGCTAAAAACCCTGACCTGACATGATCTGCTTTTCTAGATCGTGATTCGAGGGAGGGTGATGACATAATGGCAAAGGCTAATAATGTATTCCAAGCAGTTCTACTGACAGTACAGGGGTGTGGGAAGGGACTATCCTGGTTGTTGAAACAAGCAAACCGTATGCGTACATTACTAATACAGAGCTTAGAATTTCATAAGGGTCTTACCTTTAGTGGTAATTAATGCATGAGTAGGTTCAGCATCAACAACTGTGAAATGAGAAATTAAATACTTATAAAAACCCATAATAATTGCATGTAGATAATGAGTATTATTTGGCTCACAGTTACATGGAGTCCTCCATATTTTGTTTATGGTGATATATGATATGATACGATATAATATAGATAGATGATAAATAGAGGCTAAAAGACTTATGTATGTATGTATGTATGTATGATCTATCTATCTATCTATCTATCTATCTATCTATCTATCATCTATCTATCTATCTATACTATATCAGCATCCTACAGCTGTAAGGGGAGTTTGAATACAACGGAAATTCTGAAAATACAATCCAGTGATTTGCATTTGAGCCACTGATATTGACCTTCAAAATCTACCCAATCTACCTAATAATAATGTATTCTAGGATAGCTCTTTTGAAATTGGCCCACTGCAGCCTAAGTTACCACAGGGCATTGAAATGAAAAATAAAGTAAGATTTCAACACTTCATCAAAGAGTGTGGTATCTCAGAACAGTTTTAAAAGACTGAAGAATTACGCAATTCGAAAATAATAAGATCCACTAGGGACAGAGTGTTAATTTACCTAATTCATTTATTTAAAAAAATTTTTTAATGTTTTATTTTTATTTCTGAGAGAGAGAGACAGCATGAGCAGGGGAGGGTCAGAGAGAGAGGGAGATATAGAATCTGAAACAGGCTCCAGTCTCTGAGCTAGCTGTCAGCACAGAGCCTGACGTGGGGATCGAACCTACAAACTGAGACCATGACCCGAGCCGAAGTCAGACGCTTAACCAACTGAGCCACCAGGCGCCCTATGAGAGGGTCTGCCTCTCTCTCTGACCCTCCCCTGCTCATGTGGTCTCTCTCAGAAATAAATAAAACATTAAAAAATATATATTATCTAATTAATAATTTTATCTCTTGGGAAGGATGTTTTGTAAAGTGGACTGGCCTGAAAACATTATTAAAGTTTAGTAGGTAGTACCACATCATAGGCATATCACACTAATAATCCCCCCAAAGTCTGTCTTACCAGGGTCTGGCACTCATTTTCAGAAGGAGATCTAATTGGTCTTCCATGATTTATTCCATATTGAAATGCTCATAACTCTCTAGAACTTTGACCCCATCCACTTGGTGGGGATGACTACCTCACCCCATTTCCTTTCATGCCATAAAACTCTGTCAACGGGCTCTCCAAACTGCTCGCTACCTCACAGTCATTTGGCTGTGTTATTACGTCAGCTAAGCAGACAGAGTAGTCTCTGCTTACTCAGAGCTGCAGAGAGCTGATCACCAGGTTTTGGGTGGTTTCACTTCCACAGGAGTAGAGCTTGCAAGGGACCTATAATTACATTATAATCCCACATACGACATCTTGATATTGGAAAGAAATGATGGCCCGTGAACATATGTGCCACAAGGAACATCCTTACTTACTTTTTGGTCGTTTGCAAATATACCCTTTGTAGGAAGAACAGTGAATATTATTCCAAAATCCAGACGCTGCAGATAAAGCTACACAATCGTTTCGTTCACCAGAAGGATCTCCCGTGTTCCAGTTGACAAAGGAAACTGGATTGTTGTTTATCCACATCCACATTCCTGGTTATCAAATAAAGTCAATAAAAATAGAAGTTAAAAATCACCCTTTTATTTTTTTCGAATAGGCTTCAACGCAGGGAGTGCAACCACGGGGTTTGAACGCACGACCCTGAGATCAAGACCTGAGCTGAGATCAAGAGTCAGATGCTTAAGTGGCTGAGCCATTTAGGCACCCCCCAAAATCACCCATCTTAAATTCTACCTATTCGTGCAAAATTTCTAAGCGTATTATTTTATACTATAATCAATAGTTGTTTACAACCAGACTTTGAGTTTGCAAGATTATAATGACCAAGTATTATAGGAGGAAAAAAACTGAAAAGAATGTTTCCTGTACAGCTTTAGCTGAACATTTATTCCTAATTAGTACAAATACGTATACTTATCCTCCCCTAATTTTTTTCTGAAGATAGAAAATACTTTTGGGGCAGCTGGGTGGCTCAGTCGGTTAAGCGTCTGACTTTGGCTCAGGTCATGACCTTGCAGTTCGTGAGTTCAAGCCCTGTGTCAGGCTCTGTGCAGACAGCTCAGAGCCTGGAGTCTGTTTCAGGTTCTGTGTCTCTCCCTCTCTCCTCTCTGTTCTTCCCCTGCTCGCACTCTGTCTCTCTCTGTCTCAAAAATAAATAAACATTTAAAAAAATTTTTTTAAAGAAAATACTTTTTAAAGCTTCTTAAATTAACTTAGCTACAGAAAACACCCTTTTAATTGACAGCTTTCAAGATAGCATAATAAGTGAGTCACTTAAAATTTCAGTTCTTATCTTAAGTGAAAATATGAGTTTGAAGTTTCAAATTCTTCACCAATTAATCATATTTAAGGCAAGACTTTCTGGAGCTGAAAATTTGTTTTGCAAACACCATTGTGAAATATTTGTAACTAAATACTCATGTTGCAAAAATTACCTTCAACATTTCTGAACAATCCTACCCAAAAATTGGTTTTGCTTTGAAGTGGTTCAACTCGATATGACAGAAAACTTGATTCAGCAGCACTTTCAATGGAAACTAAAGAAGAGCCTGTAAAGTATAAAACACAAACACATACACAATATGATGGAACTACATTTAAACAGCTAAAAATATTTTCGTAATGACAGTACTGATGTTAAAAGCAATAAAAATCACCCCGACATCTCCACTTAAGAGAAAGAATTTCATTTATTTTTTTTTTATAGTTTATTTATTTTTGAGACAGAGACAGAGGATGAGTGGGGGAGGGGTGGAGAGAGAGGGAGATACAGAATCTGAAACAGGCTCCAGGCTCTGAACTGTCAGCACAGAACCTGATGCAGGGCTCGAACCCACGAACTGTGAGATCATGATGTGAGCTGAAGTTGGATGCTTAACCGACTGAGCCATCCAGGCACCCCAAGGGAAAGAATTTCAAAGAATGGATGTTTAACTTCTAAGAATTTCAGTTTCCATTCTGAAAATATGATGTTTTAAGTATCATGTGCGTTACAAGCACTGAATGAGTTGCTGAAGGACAGGCAAAGACAAGTAGGAAAATGAGTCTTTTCTCTTTTTTTGAAAAGTCTGCTTTAATATTTCAGGGACACTTCAAGCTCAATGTGTACAAAACAAAACTCATAAAATTCTCTCCTAGAAATCTTATTTCTCCTGAACTGTTTACATGTTGGCAAGTAGCATCATCATCTTCCCACTGCTCAAGCCTGAACCTGAGATTCACTCTTGACTTCCACCCTTTCTAACACCAATCCCAAATCCTGTTGATTTTACTCTTTAAATATTTGTCTTGTCACATCTGTCTGCTGCTATTCATTCCGTAAATGGAGGCCTGTATCTCCCTCTCCTTCAGCCATTTTGCCCAGCCTTCAACCTCCCTCCCCTCTGCCAGCCATCAATTTGTTCTCTGTATTTATAATTCTGATCTTGCTATTTCTTTGCTTCTTCTTCTTCTTCTTTTTTTTTTTAGATTCCATTTCTGAGTAGGATAATATGGTATTTCTCTTTCTTAGAATTATTTCACTTGGAAAAATACCCTCTAGGCCCATCCACGTTGACTCAAAAAAAAAGCACCATCTAGTCCTTTTTATGGCTATGTAACATTCCGGTGTGTGTGTGTGTGTGTGTGTGTGTGTGTGTGTGTGTACCACATTTTCCTTATCCAATCATCTATTGATGGACACTTCTAAGTCTTGATAGTTATAAATAATGCTACAATAAAAGTAAGGGTGCCTATATCTTTTTGAGGTAGTGTTTTGGTTTTCCTGGGGCAAATACCCAATAGTGGAATTATTGGATGATACGACATTTCTATTTTTAACTTTTTGAGGAATTTCCATACTGTTTCCCACAGTGGCTGTAGCTACTGCATTCCCACCAACAACACACGTGGGTTCCTTCTCCTTCACATCTTTGCTAACACTTGTTATTTCTTTTCTTTTTGATTTTAGCCATTCTGATAGGTTTTAGCCATTCTCCATCTTATTGTAGTTTTGATTATTATTTCCACAATGACGAGTGATGTCGAGCATCGTTTCATGTGTCTGTTGGCCATCTGCATGTCTTCTTTGGAAAATCTATTCAGGTTTTCATAGAATATGTCTTAACAAGGTCATGGTTCAGGAGACACTATGGATAGGTAGGTGGTAGGTAGGTACGTACATACGTAGGTAGGTAGGTAGGTAGGTAGGTAGGTAGATAGATAGATGCATTAGAAGAGAAGAACAGATACTATATGTTTGCATGTATAGGAGGATTAGGAGGAACTTAATGGAGGACCGTGGGGGAGAAGAAGGGGAGAAATAGTGGAGGAGAGGGAGAGAGGCAAACCATGAGAGACTCTTGAATGCCAAGAACAATTTGAGGGTGGATGGGGTGGGGGGAGGGGAAGGGGGATGATGGGCATGGAGGAAAGCATTTGTGGGGATGAGCACTGGGTGTTATATGGAAACCAACTTGACAATAAACTATTAAAAAAAAGAAAAGAAGTATGATATGAAATTGACATGTCAAATAGGAAGATTTGTTTTAGGTGAAGCAACTAAAGAGAAACATGGAGAAATAGAATTTAAGATATAAGAAGCATAGGATTTCAAGTAAGAAGAATAGAAAATAATTCCAAGAAGAGAAGGAATAAGAGAAAAGACAGCAAGGGAAGCGTCGTGCTTACTCAGGAACATGGCACACAGATATATGGCCTCTCCCACAGCTGTTTTATGATGAAAGAAGTTAGATAAAGGATAGATGAGTAGATAGATTTAACTACTGGGAGGAACCTAGAGTATTAATAGATGGCTCAGTTTGGCTGCACTAATCTGATCAAAAGGTAAAAAAAGACGTGGGTCAGGCATCACAGTAGAGGGCAAGAGATTGGTATTTAGGGTAGTGATAAAGAGCACTTAGGTTTTTCAGGCAGTAGAATGATGCAGAGTTACTCCTCTAGGTATAGGATTGTACAAAGTAAAATGAGATAGGGAATCAACAGACTGGTTACATTACCATGGCATCAACATCTCACGCTATATTAGTCTTGATTCAGTGTCAGCATTAGAGCTTAGAATAAAATTCTATAGCGTTCTAATAATAATAACTAATATATTTTAAGCACTTCATGCAAGACAGTTTGCTTTGTGCTTTACAAATATGATCTCGCTAAACTTTTACAACAACCTTATCGAATGAGCACTACTGTTATCCCCAGTTTATAGATAAGGAACTAGAGGTACAGAAGGTAAAAAAATTTGTCAAGATCCAGAGGATAGTAGAGGGCAGGGTCATGGAATGATCCAGGCATTGTGAATCTCAAAAACCTACACGTAACCACAGGCCCGCCTCCCACGTTACTGGGTCCTGGATTGGCCCCTTGATTATTGTTTTTATTGCACAGTTACATATTCCATTGTTTGATATAGTTCATGGATAATAACCATTTCAAAATATTTGTGACATATTTTGATGAGTGGAAGTCATTTGTTTTATTTACAGGAAAACAGTCATCTGAAACTGAAAACAGTTTCTCCATATTCAATGCAATTTTTAAATTTTATTTATTTATTTAAGTATTTATTTATTTTGAGAGAGAGAGAGCGAGAGAGTGCAAGAATGGGAGAGGGGCAGAGAGAGAGGGATACTGAGGATCCAGAGTGAGCTCAGCTCTGACAGCAGAGAGCCCAACCTGGGGCTCAGACTCACAAACTGTGAGATCATGACCTGAGCAAAAGTTAGACGCTTAACCTATTGAGCCACCCAGACACTCCTTTTGCAAATTCTTTTTTTTTAATGCTTATTTTTGAGAGAGAGGGAGAGACAGAGCGCAAGTGGGGGAGGCGCAGAGAGGGAGGGAGACACAGAATCTGAAGCAGGCTCCAGGCTCTGAGCTGTCAGCACAGAGCCCGACACGGGGCTTGAACCCAGGAACTGTGAGATCATAACCTGAGCCAAAGTCGGATGCTTAACCGACAGAGCCACACAGGCACCCCTTGCAAATTCTTTTAAAAGCACTTAACATGAAGGAAAATATTTTTTAATTAAAAAATTCCAAAACAGACTTCAGTGACACCTGAAGGAATGGCAGCGTAAGTGTCCCTGAAAATCTTCTCCTCTACAAAAGCAAAGAAGACTGACAAATTTCAGAACTCTAAAAATTAATAAACCACTTGTAACAATCCAGGAATGCTTATTTTTTAAAATTTCGTTTTTGTGTGAAGAGTGAGCTTCATGATGTTTTAACTTGCTCTAATTTCACGGCACTACCCTCAGCTCTCTGTTTAAGGTAAAAACAAACAGCCCCCAAATCACAGTGAAAGCTAGCAGACACTAGAATATTCTAGAAACCACTAGAATAATCAAAATGGTGTTGGAGCTCTTTCAGAGTCCCATTTCAAGGAATTTCTGTGACTTTCTCTCTCTGACAGTTCCCTGGAAAGTCTGACTTGCAAACTTTGGCTTTCTTTGCCCTAATTCAGAGCCCCTTCCGATGTTAACAGCCTTCTCCCCGAAGGTATTCATGGCAATTATCTAACATCATGGATGCCTGAGGCAGGGATAACTGGTGACGAAAAAAGAATAACAAGCAAGCAAAAAAAAACTTAAAAGGAAAAATGGGAATAAGATGTTCACGGTGAGCTCCAAAAAACTTTGATCCATTCTTGAGAATCGAGAAGGCCACAGCCATACACTGGGGCATGTCCATGAGCATATTTATGAAAAATCTGAGAGATTTCTTAGTGCGCATTTCTGGCTAACCTTGAGGATCTGCAAGAAGGAGCGCTAAGGCAGAGTTGTTGGGGGTTTTTGTTTTCTGTTTTAGAGACAGCGTGTGCATGAGCTGGGGAGAGGGGCAGAAAGAGAGAGAGAGAGAGAATGAGAATCTTAAGCAGGCCTCAAGTTGACAGATGCAGGGCTCCCACATCCTCCATCCCATAACCCTGGGATCATGACTCAAGCCGAAATCAAGAGTCAGATGCTCAACCAAATAAGCCACCCAGGAGCCTCACTAAGGCCGAGTTTTAAGCTATTGTATGAGTGCTATCATACAATGTATGTAAACTATCATTAGCTGACCCCCTGCACTAACTAAGCAGTGACTACAGTGATGACACATGAAGAAGAAAACAAACTACGAAATTATGAAGGAACATCACAGAACATGAAAAAAAAAAAACAAACCCAAGAAACACCAACAACTACACACTCTGTGTTATGAAAGGAAACCCATTTCCAGATTTGTACATCCTATTATTTAAAATGTCTAATTTTCAACAAAAAGTCTACAGGAAATACAAAAAACAAGGAAGTATGGCCCATACCCAGGAAAAGAAGCAGTTAATACCAACTGTTCCTGAGAGAGTCGCACCTTCTACATACCAAAGACCAGATCAGCTATGTTAAAGCACTAAAGGAAAACATGTTTAAAGTACAAAAAAGGCATATGAGATATGTCTTACCAAAAAGAGGACATCAAGAGAGAGATAGAGATTATTTCTTAAAATTCTGGAGTTGAAAATTATAATAATCGAAAGGAAAAATTTACCAGAGCAGCTTCACAGCAGATTTGATTAAGTAAAAGAAATAACCAAAAAATAAAAAACCATGAAAACAGGTAAGGTGTAATTATCCAGTCGGAATAATGGAGGAAAAAATTATCCAGTTGGAATAATGGAGGAAAAATATGAAAAATTTACAGAGCCTCCGAGGTTTGTGGGCCATCCCCAAGTATATCAAAATATACATAATGGATGTCCAAGAAAGAAAAGAGAGAGAAAGAATCAAAAAGAATACTTGAAATCATGGCTAAAAGTTTCCGAAATTTGATGGACAACATTAATGCACGCATCTCGCAAGCTCCACAGCTATCCGAGCTCCATGTAAGATCATTGCAAGGAAATCCACATCACAATCAAACTGTCAAAAGATAGAGATTCTTAAACCAGCAAGAGAGAAGTGACTCATCATGTACATGAGATCCTCCCAGGCCTTGGCAATGATTTCTCAACAGAAACCATGGAGGTCAGAAGGCAGTACGTGACACTATAGATAAATCAGAATGACAATCCTAAATATTTAAAATATTTAAATTTTAAATTTAAATTATTAAATTTAAATATTTATTGATTTAAAATATTAGAGCAGGATGCCTGGGTGCCTCAGTCAGTTAAGCGTCTGAGGCTTGATTTCAGCGCAGGTCATGATCTCATGGTTGTAGGATCAAGCCCCACATTGGGCTCCATGCTAAGCCACTTGCCCTCCCCTCTCTCTCTTAGAGTAAATAAATAAACATTAAAAAAAAAAAGGATATTAGGGCAGAAAGTAAAAAAAGACTTTTCAGCAAATGATTGTTTTCTGCTGTAATTCTTTCCAATTTTGAGGCTATCATGTTACAAATGACATGGGAAGGCATGATGCTGACCATCCTGTCATGATAGAAATTACCGAGAAGAATAAACAAGTGTTCTTACATTCCACAGGAGTTTAATGTACAGCCTTGTTAAGGACCATGGGAGTCCAGACTAGATGATTATGAGATTTTTCTTACAGTGAACACAGCACTTACCCATTCGGAGACATTCCAGAGAAGCTTGCCCCCAGTTTCTCGTATAGGAAGATTCGATATAGTAGCAGTGACCATGGAAAGGAATCCATGCTGTGTGCTCAGACTCTGGGCATCTGCCAGGCAGTTGTGGAGGTTCAGTGGCCGGGATTTCTGTCAATAAAAAGACATTTCAAACAAAGCAAAACCTGAAGTTTCTCTACTATGTAAAATAAAATACTAGCAGCTAAGGAAAATTTCATCACCTGTCTCTAATTTTTAAAAAGTTCTGGGGTACCTGAGGGTGGCTCAGTCGGTTAAGTGTCTGACTTTGCCTCAGTTCATGATCTCATGGTTTGTGGATTCGAGCCCCGCATCGGGCTCTGTGCTGATAGCTCAGAGCCTGGAGCCTACTTCGGATTCTGTGTCTCCCTCTCTCTCTGACCCTCCACTGCTCACACTGTCTCTCTCTCTCTCTCTCTCTCAGAAATAAATAAAAATATTTTTAAAAAAGTTCTAATGGTAATCATTTGGGCCCGCCATTTTTGTTATGGGGTGTTCTTTTTAGTTGAACATTTTTCTTTGCATTTTAAATATATTTCAATAGACTGTCCTCTGGTAGAATAGAAATCAACCATCATAATGACGAATGCAAATCTATAAATATTTACAAAGATGTTAAGTTCCTTAAAAAAGTTATGGAAAAATAATTTGCAAAGGGAGTCCCCCTTCACTGTATTCTAGAAAAATTATCACCTTAATATCACTGTCTCTCATTAATCTATATGTATTCTGATAAAATTATATTGATACAGATGTGTTGTCAGCATAAAAACTAATCATAATTTTCCTGACAAATCTGACATCATATAATCTCAAAATAAAAATTCAAGAGTTTATAAAGTGCCAATAAAATCTAGCAATGAAGAAAAATTTGTATCCTTATTACTTGGATCTATATATATTTGCTTATTGCCAAGTCAGTCTTCTGTTATGTGAAGGAAGAGGTTTTATATCTTATTCTTTAATACTATTTTTTTAAGTTCATTTATTTATTTTGAGAAAGACACAGTGAGAATGAGGGAGGAGCAAAAAGAAAGGGAGAGAGGGAGAAGGAGAGAGGGAGAGGGAATCCCAAGCAAGCTCCATGTCACCAGCACAGAGCCCAATGCAGGGCTTGAACCCACGAAACCTCGGGATCATGGCCTGAGACACAACCAAGAGCCAATGCTTAGCCAACAGAGCCACCCAGGTGCCCTTTATTATCTTATTCTTAAGTTAATCAGGAGATGTGACTGTTTAACAATGTCAACAGTCATATATATTCATTTATTGAGAACATTTCAAATCCCTTGACTGCTTTTGTGTATTCAATTACCATCTGATCTTTTGCAGAGAGAATAAAAACTTTCATTGCAAGATGCTGTCTTCCAGTAGCCATCGAGATCCAGGTAAACACATGCTGATTTCAGTCTGGGTTCATCAGCAGCCCAGTTAGTATACCTCATCCTCCATCTATCAGTCCACGCATACTCATTATTGGTCTGCAAGGACAAAAACAATAATTAACATGCAGTCTCACTTCATTTGGAAAACACCAAAAGAACCAATTGAGAAGTAAAGGTATATTCAAGACTGTGATTTGACAAACAATCTTCAACATTTGAGAATAAAAAGAACATTATAAATCACTCCTACCAATGCAGTGGTAAATGCAGCCCTTTCTTTTAGAAAGACTCTTGGGGATCCCCATAAATACATCCTTGAAAGCTAATTTGAAAAACATGGACTTAGAAACCTGTCTTATTCTATGAAACTTCATTTGCAGGTTTTCAGTGTGAATACAATTTTGTTTTCAGAACAAATATTCATTACATCAACATTAAAATGATAATAAAATTAAGTAATTTTCACTGAGTTTGTAGACCTTGGAGAGAAAGGCTAAGCCCTTCTAACTGTCTCATTGTTCAGCTGTTGAAAAAGCACACGTGACAAATGACTTAGGCAAGATCCCATAGAGAGATAACAGAGGAGCCTAGGTACCTTGCTTTCCAGGATGATGGTCTTTCAACTATAACAAATCATCCTGGTTTTTTTTTTTTAACTTTTTTATGTTTTATTAATGTTTTTGAGAGACAGAGTGTGAGCAGGGTAGAGCAGAGACCAAGGGAGACACAGAATGGGAAACAGGCTCCAAACTGTCAGCACAGAGCCCGATGCGGGGCTTGAACTCACAAACCGTGAGATCATGTCCTGAGCTGAAGTCAGATGCTTAACCGACTGAGCCACCCAGGAGCCCCTGGTATTTTTTAAAAAGTAGATTGTTTTATTCACTTTGCACACTTCATTTCTTACTGAATTTAGTGGAACAAATTTATGATCACATGTAAAATAATTAACATCAAAAAGAGTACTTATCAATAATATCCTTTTAACAGTCTAAAAGATTTTGCAGGTAATGTCTAAAAACAGATGGTATATAATATTAATGAAATAAATGAATTTTGAAATCATTCAAACAATGGGTCCCATTTTAACTGCATTATTTAATTTCCCAAACTAATTACCAAAGATTTAATGACAAAATCAAAACCATGTATTATCTCAAGTTGGAATTTTGCAGGATTCTACCACATTTAGTCAAATAATGCTTACATAGTCCTTAATTCTATAGATGTAAGGAAGATAATAGTACTGTTTACATTAGAAACGTCGGTATAGTGGAAAAGCTACTTCATCTTTCTAAAAATAATAAAAGCTTATTTGAAACTCAGGAGAGAATTGTGACCATGTCCTTAAGAAGGAAATGAGTGAACTAACAAACCAATTAATTACTAAAAAAGAGAGTCAACACAGACATAAAAATGTCTTGCTTAAGTTTAATCACAGAAATCAGTATGGAACTACTTACTTTTAAGTACTCACTTGCCTACTTAGGAAATATTCTTTGGGTGAAGTGTACATTTTGATCTCCATAGCACAGCGTTAGGAAATCTCTAAAATCTGACACCAACCTACTTTCCAGTTTTATCTCTTCCTGTGCAGTTCTCTCTTCCTGGTACCCACTTCCTTATGTTCCAGCATCCTAGGCCACATCAATAAAGACCACTTTCTCGCAAAAAGCTTCATGGCCCTTTCCCCTGGCTCAACTGGTCCATTTTCTCTCCTGTAGCAAGCACTTGTAGATACCTCTCTTTATTATTTATGGCTTTGTCTCCTAGTAACTTGTTGATATTTCTATTTCTTTTACTGGGAAGTTTGCTGGTTGACTAGCTAAAAGGATGGAAGGTAGATGGATCACAGGGGCGCCTGGATGGCTCAGATGGTTGAGCATCCGACTTCAGCTCAGGTCATGATCTCATGGTTCATGAGTTCGAGCCCCATGTCGGGCTCTGTGCTGACTGCTCAGAACCTGGATCCTGCTTCAGATTCTGTGTGTGTCTCTCTCTCTGTTCCTCTCCCACTTGCGCTCTCTCCCTCCCTCTCTCTCAAAAATAAAATTAAAAAAAAAAAAGGTAGATGGATCACAGGGCATCAGGGAAGACTCATTTTAGGAATATTTTGGCAACTCCATGACCACTCTTATTTCTGTGCCCCCCACACCAATTCTCTGCCACTGGCGACCTGCCCTTTTCTATTATGGAATAAAAGAAATGACTGCAGTCACATTCTTCACACATGGACAGAAGCTTCACAACTTCAGGACTCACAACTCTAGAATGACTTGCCACAAAAAATAAAAAGTACCCTCATCACCCAGGAACCATGCCCCCGATCTGCCTTCTTAATTCCCATGGCATCATTGTAATCATGACACTAGAGAAAAATCAGTTAATAAATAAGGGTTTTGAGATGCAGAATCTCTTTTAATATTCAAAAGCAGTATGAAAGTTAATGTAAGTTATGTAAATTTAATTTGATCTCTGAACACATATCACTAGCTTGCTAGATCCTTGAAGGCACTGGATCCTTGAAAGATGGAGTCTAAATTTATGTTAGTATCATTCACATTGCCTGGCACAGCATCTTACATATAACAAATACTCAGCAGAATAAACAGAGAACCCCATTTCCTCGCAATTTATCAATCATGTCAAGTCACACATGCTCCCAGCATCTTACCAAATTACTGTTCAGGGCGATCCACACAGGCTCATTAAACTTTTGCATTTGCATCAATGCAAATGCATTACTATAGGGATCTAGAATGCTAGCAATAAGGGAATTGTGGAGCTTGCAATAATTCTCTGCCTCTTGCCATGGTAACTTTAATTTCACGAATGAATAGTTACTTTCACCATATTGAATAAAGCCGTCTGTTGGAATTGTTGTTGGAGAATGAGGCAAGGAAGAGTCTGGAATAAAAAGAGTATCTTTTATTAGCATTAGCAATAAGCATTACTTAGAGAGTAACTGATACACTATATTCACTACCATATCTCATTACGTTATACAAACAATCAGAATAGCATAAATCCAAACCACCAGGCGTTAAAAATATTTCCTAAGTCATTTCACATCAAAAACCAAAGCTCTGATTTTTCATCAGCCTGCCTGGTTGACTTAAATAACTTCCAAACAGTATGCAGGTCAATAATATAGATACATAATTAAGTTTCTAAACTAAAAAAAGAAAAGGCTTGCAAATTCAATGATATCTAGAATCTGAGCAAAAGAAATGACACAGTTTAATCCCATAAATTAAGAAGTATCTATCATCCTGTTATTACTAATTTTTACCTTACCATCTTGGTCAAATTTCAAGGTCACCAACAGTCTTCCTTCCCCTCCTCCATCTGCTCCACCCTATCCATGAATTGGCATCTATCTGTGTCTATTTGACTCCACCTGTTAGTAAGGCACCTTCAAGAGACTGTTTGAAGTTCTGGCACAAAGTGAGATACTTGTCCCAGGTTCATTTAACCCCTATCCCACCATCACGCTTTATCCCCACTGATGATTGCCTATATGCCCTTCACCCACCCCCATGTCTTGACCAAACCAACTCAGTGGCTGGAGCTCTTCTAAGCCACAGTCCCTTTAGCTTTCTGAACCTTTTCCTTCAGTCTTCCACCATGGATTTCTAAATGTTTTTGTTGTTGTTGTTGTTTTCAATGTTTATTTATTTTTGAGAGAGAGAAAGAGAGAGCAGGAAAAGGGCAGAGAGAGAGGGAAACAGAGAATTCCAAGCAGGCTCTGAGCTGTCAGCACAGAGCCCGACACGGGGCTCAAACCTATGAACTACAAGGTCATGATCTGAGCCAAAACTGAGCCAAATGCTAAACTGTCTGAGCCACCCAGGTACCCCTTCCAGCATGGATTTCTAATCGCTGTTTTAGGCCAACCCATTCTTTGTGCCACTTACTGTATAGCCCGCCTCCCCCGAAAGAGCTGCTTTCTGTGTCCCTTAGTAGATGCCCTAGAGTTAGAGTTTAGTGAGTGTCAGCCTGTTGTATGTTAGAATGGTAGCCCATGAGCTAAGAATGGCTTTTAAATGGATGACAAATTTAAACAAAAAATCAAAGAACAATATTTTGTGACATGTAAACATTAAATGAGATTCAGATTTGTGTCCACAAATAAAGTTGTATTGGAACACAATGATGTTCATTTGTTTACGTGTTGTCTGTGATGGTCTAGTATCATGGCAGAGTTCTAGCAACAGAGAATGTATATTTACAGCCTAAAATATTTACAATCTGTCTCTTTACAGAAAAAAAAATTGTCAGCCCCTGGTCTAGGGGTCTAGATGTCCTTGCCTACCCATTTTGCCTGGGCTATTTCTCAGATGTGTTCCACTATATACCAACTTAATTCACCATCTGCCTTGTTCTCTCACTGTACCAATACCAAACGTTCTGATTATGCCTGGAGTGGTGACTTTAGATCAGCAAGGGCAGCTCCACCTTTCTTCTGCTGTTGCTGCTACCTTGTGTTGGTGGAAGAATATCATTAAACCAAGAGACCCAGGTCAGCACCGTCCAATGGTACAGCCAGGAGAGACTGAACATTCTTCCTGTTTCCCAGTGAGGGGAGTTCTGGGTTTGTCTTAATATCACCAAAAAATTTTAGGACCACTAAAAGTGGCAAATGAGGCTTGAGGGGAAGCTGAAAAAAAAGTTTCATGGAAGGCTATGTGCAACTAGGAAATAGCTCATCGGTCCAACTTGCTGGTTTCTGAAAACATTCATAAAACAATTATAAGGAGAAATTAAAATATCGGGAGGTTATTTTCAGGTGGTTGGATTGCGGGGAATTTTTTCCCTTCTTTATGCCTTTCTGCATTTGCTAAAATGTCAGCAAAGAACATGTGTTACCTATTTTTTGTAACAGTGGGTTTTTATTCATATATGTGAAGAAAAACATGAATGTGTATGTGAATATGATTATAAATATTTTTTATCTTGTAATAGGTTTTTATTAGGGGCAAATAATCTATCATTTGTGCTTATAATAAGAAGGAAAAGATTTTTTAAAAGCTTGTAAGCCATCATTCACTCCTGAAAGGAGTGTCCCTCCTGTCCTCGACAGAGACACAGATGACATGTTTGGCATTTCTAGTGGCCCAAGATTCTGGGCCCAAAGGACACAGCAGAGAGGGAAAAGCTCCTGACTTGATCAAAGTTCAGAATTTCTGCGGTGCTTTTCAGTCATCTCAAAGTATCTTAAGTGATTTTTCACTCGCTGTCATGGGCTGGTCATAGTTCCCTGATCCCGGAGAAAGTGTGGAAAAATCCATTTGATGTGGAAGAACAAACACCTTCTAATTCAAACCCTAAGAGTTGTTCTCGGATGACAGCAGCCCACACCGCCCCCACCCTCATCTCTAAGCCGCCTTGTGTTTCTGGCCTTCTTTCTGTGTAGCTAGACGATTGTGTTCTTGTTTCAGTGGACACCAAAGTACATACAACTATCTTCTTGATTCTCAGGAAATATGTACATTTTCTGTTTTATTGTTATTCAACGATAGTAGGGCTTCCTAGGATAAACAATGAAACACAAACCAGATATCTGCATTTTTAGGGGTGCCTGGATGGCTCAGTCGGTAAAGAATATAACTCGTGATCTTGGGGTTGTGAGTTTGAGCCCCACGTTGGGTGCAGAGATTACTTAAAAATGAAATCTTAAAAAAAAGAGAGATCTATGTTTCTTTTAAGGTTTATTTATTTTGAGAGGGAGCGAGAGAGAAAGCATGAGCAGTGGTAGAACAGAGAGAAAAGGAAAGAGAGGGAATCCCAAGCAGACTCCGTGCTATCAGCGCCGAGCCTGACATGGGGCTCGATCTCATGAACCATGAGATCATGACCCAAACCAAGTGAAGAGTCACACACTTAACCAACTAACTAAGCTACCCAGGCACCCGGAGATCTACATTTTTAAAGGCAGAGGATATAAAACCAATGAGGCATATACGATGTTCTATACCAGTGGTTCTCAAGTTATACGAGCACAACTGAGGAATTCTTACTGTGACATTTTAAAAACAGGCTCAGGTAGGCAAATATTCTAAATTCCTAACAAAGTTAGAAAAAGTTCCAGCTCCAAGTGTAATCTGCATAAAACTTTTCGGTAATGGATGAAGGGGCACACTCATGAATAGTTTATAGAAAATGTCACCCTTTTCATCTGTCACAGGCACACATGGATTGAGGTGAGAAACAAACCTGTCAATGTGCCAGGGAATGGCCATTCTTTAAATAAAACTTTATGTTTTTAGAGCAGTCTAGAGCTCACCGCAAAATTGAGAGAAAGGTCATTTTTTAAAAGCTATTACATAACTCCCCGCTCTTACGGGCAGTCGAGGTTTGGTAGAACTTACCAGGAAGTGTCTGGCAGATGTAGCCCCGCTTACTGTCACATGTGTCATCCATCCATTTTCCTGCATCCCTTGATTTCCCGCCAATAATAACAACGCAATCAGCCTGCACATTTATGGAGAAAGGGGGGAAAAAAGCAGTGTGAAACAATGATTGTTTAAATCAATTCACTAATGAGCCAAAAAAAGATCCTTCATTCCTAACCTTCAAATTTAATCATATTTCATTCACAGTACATTCAATCCATCTGTACTTTCCATGCCCCTGCTCGCACTTTCCACATGGATCTTTCACAGTGAACTCTTGTTGTTTTTAAATAAAAACCCAACAGACTTTGATAATTTTGGAGATAGGTCTGAGAAATTTTGCTCTCAGAAACCGTATTAATCTCTATCAAAATTTCACAACGAAATGTTAGAATACAATATCTTCTCCATATAAATTCTCCTGATTCAAGCTCCAGCATAGGTGTCCTGCTGTTAAAGGGAAATAAGTATTATCTATATTTTTCATTGCTAATTTAATTCATTATGGATTCAGAGCAAATTGCTGCTATGTGGCTAGAAAGTTTCACATCTTATTTGCGATCTTACAGGAAAGTATGCCAGGCTGGAAAGGGTTTTCTATTTTGTGTTCTGACTATGTTTGCAGTACCTAGCTTCCCTAGGATAGTCTATGAGCCAAAGCAAGTAATAAAGTCATGAAACATGCATCTGCCAAAGTTTTCGTCCTGTGTCAAGATTGTGACTTATATGTTGGGCTTCTTTAATCTATCAGTTCGAATAATTATAGCTTTTACTTATACTAGCTGACGTTGTTCTGAGTACTCTACATGTATTAATTCCTGTAGCTCACATCCATTCTGAGATTGGTACTATGTGTATGCCCATTTCACAGATGAGAGAACTGAGGCACAGGTGGACTTGCCCAAGGTTACACAGCTAATAAGTAAGAGGTGGGATTCAATCCACGGGCATTCAGGCTCCTGGCATAGACCTTAACTACTCCATCTTCCTCCTCGACAGGTGAGGAATGCCAAGCATGCTGGGAAAAGAAGTAATCTCTAGGAAGGGTTTTTGTTGATAGCCACAAAGGAAGGGAAGATTGGATATTCTCTTGAATGGATAGAAGGACTAGAATTTGTCTACGGTGCAATAATGAAGAGCTAGGCCAGCATGCCAATGATGCAGAGCAGAGAAATAGAGAAAACCTGAATCTTTAGCTTTATTCCATTCCCTGATCCACAGCTATGACTGCTGCCAGAGCTGCCTTCGAAACCTCCCTGCCTCCAACCTCATTCTTCATTTAATCCCCATGAGCTTTGACTCTCAGGAACTCCCTATCGTACATGTAGATGTGCCATCATTCCCATCTTCCTCCTTAGCTATTCTTATCTTTCGTTACCCTGGCGTACAGCCCGTGCTCTGCTCCGGAACTTGGACAGAGCAAGCCTGCTTCCACCACAAAATACACACAAAAAGTTCTCTCCCACCCTCTTTATCACACTGTATTTAATCCTCTTTGCGTCTCAAGTTCCTGAAATTGTAGCAACACAGTCTGTGTGTTTTGATTCCATTTGTGTGAAATAAACTTTATATGTTGCACAAAGAAAAAGTCTAGAAACAAATTCGGCAAAAGATTAATGGTGTTTTTCCCGGGTGGTGAGATGACAAATTTATTTTTTTGTTTCTGCTTGTCTTTATGTTCTCAAGACAAAAAAGAAACTTGGGCAATAATGATTTTTTTTTGGCTTCACACAAAATTCACTTCTCATCCAGAAACTTTTTACAGAAAATCTCCTCTCACTCCATTCTACTTCAACTTCTTCAGTAAGTTTTTAGCCCTCGTGTATGTAATGAAGATTCAAAGAATTTCTCCACAGAAAATCACTAGTCCATCACCAAAATGTATGTACCCTACACAGAGCTACCAAATTAATTATCACAAACACACCATCTTGATTAGATCACTTTTCTGCTCTAACCTTTTCTCGATGTCTATCTGACGAAGTGCACACTCATTCCCAGGGCATTTAAATTTCTCTAAATTCTGCTTTCAACCTTTCAAAGTTTTGTCTTACCTTTTTTCTGTATAAAAGCCCTGCTCTACCAAAAGCTATTCACTCCTGCCCAAATCCACATGGTGCCTTTTTCTTGAAGAGTGTATTTGCCTTACTCACTTAGCATGGCCTTCCCCACCCCTCACCCAACTTACCCATCATTGTTTTAAACCTCTTAAAGAAAAGACCCCTCAGGAATTCTTTCTCACGCTCCTTCTCTGCATCAGATGAAAGTCTCCCTATATAATCGTTGTCTGATTAGATCATTCCGTCCCATAGGAAGTTCTTTCCTGCTAACTAAGATAGGGTTTCATAACTGATCCTCACATTATACACTTGCATTCCTTACTGTCTTCTTTTCCATATAAGACTGTGGTCTAAGGGGCACCAGGGTGGCTCAGTCGGTGAAGTATCCGACTTCAGCTCAGGTCATGATCTCATGGTTGCTGGGTTCGAACCCAGCATTGGGCTCTGTGCTGACAGCTCAGAGCCTGGAGCCAGCTTTGGATTCTATGTCTCCCTCTCTCTCTGCCCTTCCCCCACAGGCGCTCTATCTCTGTCTCTCAAACAATGATTTAAAAAAATTAACAAAAGAAAGACTTGCGGTCTAACATAAGTGCAAGCTTCTTTAAGGTAAGAACAAAGTCTTTTGTTTCTTCCTGTTTTTCTCAGTGCCTAGTGTGTTGTTTAATATTGACCACTTGACTGTTCAGTGATACAAGATTAAAGGCATTGAAATAAAGAAACAATCATCCATCTCTGAGGCTAATGTATAAGAGCACCTAGGACACTGTTTGGCTAGCAGCAAGCACTCTACGAACGGCAGCTCAGTAATGGTAACAATGAGGATGGGATCATTAGTAGTAGTAGCTGCAGGATATACACGCTCAACACTACAAGCTTCAAGAGTTTAGAGGCAGCTGGTACAAATAGAGTTGGTAACTCTGGGCTTAAGTACACATCATGACTACAGCAGAGGTGCAGAGGGGAGCCGGCTTTCCCATTCCTTGGGACCCCCACCAGCTGCCCCACGAGCTGAAGTGTTCTTAATTGAATTTATGCCTCTTCCCTCAAGGCTGGCTCAGTCTGACACACTTAAAATCTGCAAGAATGAACCGGATCGAGGAGAACTCTGATGGATTTTTCAGAGATGACTGATTGCTAATACGATGAAGCAGGCTGACAGTAGGCGAAGAGGTGACCTGAAACGGATATTTACATCTTCATAGGACAGACTGCTCCTTCTCCCACCAGGGAAACCTTTCCCCCAGTTGGTATAATGAACTCCTCGGCCATCCGTCCACAGGAACGTGTGCTCGGAATTCACATCATTCAGCCCCGTCCAGGCATTAAAAGTGGAGTCCTTCATATGATAGGTGAGAAATGCTGAAAGAAACGTTCCACAAGATAATTTAAAACTTTAGGGGGAAATACTCAAAATACGGAAAGCAGTCAAAGTACATAATGTTAAAATACTGAGTCCACGATTAATGTCTTTATTATTATTTAAAAGCACTTACCATGAAAACACATTCTAACCTTCAAATCACACTATTGGGGCACCTGGGTGGCTCAGTCGGTTAAGCGTCCAACTTGGGCTCGGGTCATGATCTCACAGTTAGTGAGTTTGAGCCCCGCATCGGGCTCTGTGCTGACAGCTCAGAGCCTGGAGCCTGCTTTGGATTCTGTGTCTCCCTCTCTTTCTCTACTGCTCTGTCTCTCAAAAATAAATAAACATTAAATTTTTTTTAAAAAACATCACTCTATCACGTCAGCTTTGTACTTCGTCAAGGTTTGCGTAATACAAGTCTAGATTTTTTACCCGGGCCAGTGTGGATAGAGGACAGGATGTGCCCTGCCCAAGGGGAAAGGGCAGCTCAAGCCTGTCCCATGCCCAGCTCTCCATTTCATACACCCCCATCTGAGTGCGGTTGCCTGTCTTTCTGCAAGAAGAGGTACTGTGTCTAATTCATATGCAGTCATCCTGTGAGTGACCAGGTGCTCTGATTATTTTTAATAAGATAATCTGATTATAATAACTAGGGGGCAAAGAGGGCTCTTAATCCAGAAAATTTCTGAAAATGAGAACTCCTTGTCAAAACGAGAAGCATCAGGCTGTCAAATTCTCAATGACTTTGGGTTTCCAAGCCCAAAGAGCTACCCAGCTGGAACTTCTTCTGGGAGGCAATTGCTAAGGGTCGGTGGCCATCCGCTAAGTGTGCTTGGACCAAGGGGGGACATCCTGATGCTAAGGATTCGTGTCATTAGGAGAGAAGATCTAGAAAAATTCAGAGAATGCAGAACAAACGTGGCCTTTTGCTTCCTTGCCAATTCTGGGGCAGAGAGAGAGGATGGTGGCAAATACTCAGAAGCTGTAAAAGGCTGAAATGTACAGGTTCCCGACCCCTGCCCACTCGCCCTTCCTCATGCCCCCCACACCACACGGCTGCCTTCCACAGCTAGCAATTTCCCTGGCCAGGAGCCGTGGATGCCCAGTTGGACCAGTATGGACCCTACAGAATAATTTCCAAACCCTTATGCTTGAACATGACTCCTGAATGCAAAGAGGATACTGAATGACTGTGCACTGGGGTCTTACTTAAAAAAAAAAAAAAAGAAAAAAAAGCAAAATAGAGAGAAGCTCAAAGAGATGTAATTATCTGTTTATTCATAAACAAATAATTCCATGGAAGGGCCACTGTTACATGGTTATTCAACTGAGTAGCAGAAGAAGTGACCACTCGGCTCAGAGATTTGCTTATTTCTCAACTAAAGGTAAAAAAAATTATTTCCTTCCAAAATTTTTCAGAGAGAGAAGAGAGCATGGCCAGATATTTATTTTGGTTTTATTTTTATTTCCTAAACAAGATCATAACCTCCTCCAACCCCAGCTTGAAATAATGTGCAAAAGCACTACCTGCCAATATTTTAGCCCTGACTTTTTTTCTGCCAACAACCACAAATAAGAATTCAACAACGTGTGCCTGTTTTGCCAGGAATAATGTTATTTTATCTGAAAATTGTTTCCTTCTGCACATCTCTATTACCCAGGTTCTAATTCTGTTATGCCAGGAATCAGCACTTTGTGGTTAAGGGAAGAAGTCAATTATTGTGTTTCTCTGCTGGGTAGCTAAGCCCAAAATGTGGTAGGCCAGTTACGGAAATATGAATATTATATTCTTAACATGTTTTTATTGTGTGCTATGGTTTGACCCTTTTCTTTCCGCGTCTGGCAAGTTGCTGCCCTTGACTAAGGGCCTCAGTGAAACGTTGGTTGATTTATTGTATAATGTGTTCCAAGACAGCACATGGTGGCCTTTACGGAATAAAGTAAACACTTGAGAAAATGCCAGATGGGGTTTCTGGGTCTTTCTTCTTTCTTATATTTTCTGAGATGTACCATGATTTTGGAAGTCAAAGAATTTCAGAACCAAAAGGGAACTGAGATATTATCTAATTCCTCATCTCCCCCTTAACATCCCACATAAATTCATCCATACATTTATTGAACATCTTTCATGCTATGTGCCAGTCAGTATGTATAATGTATGCTATAGTCCATAGCATCCAACTGAGAACTTTCCAATGTAAGCATTTTCACGGTCCTTTAGAGAACTCACAAAGCAGCTCATTTAACCAGCTCCTTTTTTTTTTTTTTAATGTTCATTTATTTTTGAGAGACAGAGTGAGCAGAAGAGGGGCAGAGAAAAGGAAGGACAAAGGATCTGAAGCAGGTTCTGCACTGACAGCAGTGAGCCCAATGTGGGGCTTGCACCCATGAAGCTTGAGATCACGACCCAAGCTGAAGTCTGATGCTCAACCGGCTGAGCCACCCAGGTGCCCCTCCCTAATCAGTTCTAATTCTTAGAATGGCCTCCCAATTTTGAGCTTAAGACTATTTCTGCCATTCATTGGTATCAAGTCTTCCTTCTAAAACCACTCAGGTCCATATCCTGTCTTATCCAGGATGTGAAAGCTGAAAGTCTTTCAAACATGCCTCACTCACTGCCTGCTGAGGCTTCCAAACCCTCCATCAATTTGGTTTCTTCATTTGGCTGGCCTGTACATGGCCAGCAATCTCCTTAAAGTGATGACTCACTAATTTAACTTAATATCTATTTCAGGTAAGGTGGCCATGAAGAGACCGTGCGAAAGAATGGTCTTGTCAGATGTGAGGGCGACCTGGCTGCGACATCTGTCACCCCATCGATCGCCAGGGTTGATTCGGCTGATCTGGCTGGATAGGTGGGTGTCCCCTTCCTCCCTCATCGCTCCATGTGTGTCCCTCCAGAAGCTGTGCACTCGGTTGAAGAGGACGACCTTCCCCAATAGAGGAGGACCATTCTTTGGTCAAGGGTATAAGAGAAGCTGCTCTCCTCTGCTAGAACCTGCAAACAAGCTCTCAAGAATGGTCTTATCAACAACATAACAAGTTTTACAATCTGCTATACAGATAGGGTGAGTTTTCCCCTTCATTGTTCTTCAAAGCTCTGGTTTATCCAGATGTTTTATTAAAAATTTTTCCTCAATTTGTTCAAAGTTCATATCTAAAAATTAGTTTTAGTGCCTTAAGATTTTTTTTATTAATGTTTGTTTATTTTTGAGACAGATAGAGATAGAGTATGAGTGGGGGAGGGGCAGAGAGAGAGAGGGAGATACAGAATCTGAAGCAGGTTCCAGGCTCTGCGCTATCAGCACAGAGCCCGATGTGGGGCTCGAACTCATGACATGTGAGTTCATGACCTGAGCTGAAGTCGAATGCTCAAACAACTGAGCGACCCAGGTACCCCAGTTTTTGTGCATCTTAAATTATACAATCAAGTGACGAGAAGAGCAGTAAATGGAAATTTGCTAATTTCCAATTTATTGCTCTGGGGGTAGTTCTAGGAATAAAAGTGGAGAGTAGTTCTAGGAGTGAAATGGAAAATTAACAATTTTAAATTTAATTTTTTTGATTTATAGGAGAGTTTGATTTGAAGAAATATTACAACATATAAAAACTACATAGAGTCTTAATTCCTACTCATACAGTGGTACATTTGATATAACACATGCTTTAAAAAACATTTAAAATCCAGAATGCACACAGTACTACACAGTTTGATCACTGAGTCATTAGTTGATAAGCAAACGTCACAGAACAGCTTCATGTCAGCCAAGGCCACAAACACCATGTACGACACATTTGAACTGACAGATTTTGACATGTTAAAGATACAACATCAGTGCATGTTGGGGATCCCTGGTGCCATAAAGAAGGGTGACGGGAAGGCCAAACTAGTCGCTGGTAGTTTCCTCCTCCTTAATTTTCACTGAGGCACTCTCTCGAGCTTTGGCCAACATACAGCGCTTGATCTCCCAGCCAATGGCTTTGGCCAGAGGCGGTGGCACGGCGTTCTCCACCTGCCGGTGCTTGTCCAAGATCTTACCGAACAGCCAGTAGGTGTTAGATTTAATTTAAAATTGTTAATTTTCCATTTCACTCCTAGAACTACTCTCTACTTTGGTTCTTTGAGGAATAAACTGGTTTGGTGGAAACAGAATGGAATTTAAGTGGGAAGAGCCAGGTTTGATTTCCAACCCTCCTGCCTACAGCAGGCTCCCTGAACACCAGTTACTCATTACTGCAGCCTGATCTTGCACTCAATCCCACAACCTTGGGATCATGACCTGAGCCAAAATCAAGAGTCAGACGCTCAACGGACTGAGCCACCCAGTTGCCCCCAAAGGGACTTTCTATGTTAAATGCCCAGCATGGCGCCTATAATTACAAAATAGTTCTCCATATGTGTTTGGCTTTTCTCTCCTGCCTAATTAAAAACCAAAATATCATTTACTATCATCAGGGGGGAAAGGTTACATATTTAAGTGCATCAGTGATTATACAATGGTCTGCATACCTTGCTCTTTTTCATTGCGGATCGATACCAGATTTCCCCCAAATCCTATGCAAGCTTTTCGTGCCTCTTGCCAATTTTTTCTTTCTTCTTCAACAAATCCGAAGATTTTGTAACACTTGGATGGAAGAAAAAAAATGGGGGCTAAGTAAAGATAATAGTGCTCGCCCTGAAGACGTTTAAATTGTTCATGCAGATGATAGCCAAATATAAATTTTCTCCAAATCCAAAAGGTTAACTTAGTTTTATCACCCACAGACTTCCTCTGCAAAGTATTTTTTCTTCCTGGTAACAAAGGGCACATCTACAGGGATAATATCTTCAAGTATACTCTTCGTTTCCACAGGGAATTTGACAGAGAGCCTCCATCTAGCCTTGCCTAACATTTTCTAAAGTGACTAGGTAAGCGTAAGTTAACTTTAAGCTGAAGAGTTTGCATTGTCGCTCTCCGAATCGATTGATGACAAGACTGCCACTAATTTGTTTAGTACCTTATTATTGTAAAAATTCCAGCCTTCCTTACAGCCTCCTGGGACTGCGGGCACCGTGGGAATGACCGTGGCATTGATGCTGCTGTTGTGCCTCTGGCAAATGAAGGCATTTGGATAACCACAATTAATGTCATTCCAAAACCCTGGCAAGGGACAAAATAGCTAAATTAGATTTACATATTTGCATTTAAAAAACTCTTTTTAAAATAAAACACATTTCTGTTTCATAAGGATTCTCAGAAATGGCGTAGACTACAGCATCACGTTTACACAAGTAACTAGAAAGTACTATGTCATACCCTTTTGTTCTTTCACTTAAACTAATAATAGTTCAACTTTATTTCTTTCTTTATTTTAGAGAGAGAGAGAGAGAGCACAAGTGGGGGAGAGGGGCAGAAGGAGAGAGAGAGACAGAGAGAGACAGAGAGAGAGAGAGAGAGAGAGAGAGAGAGAGAATCTTAAGCAGGCTACACACTCAGCATGGAGCCTGATGTGGGGCTCAATCCTACAACCCTGGGATCGTGACCTAACTCAAAATCAAGAGTCAGACACTTAACTGACTGACCCATCCAGGCGTCCCAATAGTACTTCAACTTTATAGAGAACTTTCTATGAGCCCAGAATTAACCTGGTGTTGTAGATGTATTATCTAAACAGCCATTAACAGCTAAAGATAATAATCTAATAGTATCTAAACTTATAGATATGAAGCATTGTTTAGTGGTTCAGAAATATCGTCTTAAATTCTCTCAACAACACATATGTTCCGGTCACTATTCTCATTTTACAGACAAAGATGTGGAGAGAGATAAAGGAGACAGATAAACATTCTGGATAGTTTGCTCAAATCAAAACATAAAAAAATGTTTCCTAAAATAAGTGAGAAGATTGTGTCCTTCCTTAGAGCACATGTGAAGCACACATTTTTCTCACACACTGAACAGTTACACCACTGAAACTTAAAGTCTTTATTTCTTCTGCTTTTCTTGCCTGATGTAAGTATACAACTCGCTACTCTTAGGCTAGTAATGTAGCAAACGACAGAGGCAGATTCAAGATGATGTTTCTGTTGTCTACCTGAATTTGAATACATGGTCACACAATTTTCATCATCATTTGCAAAATTCGGTTCACCTGTGGCCCAAGCCACATAATCCACTTTGCTTCCGTCCATCCAACTGGAAGAGAAAAGTCAGGTACTTAGCTATAACAACCCAAACATGAGGATAACTGGTAACAGCCTAGTGCGAGGGAACAGATGAATCAATGAAGATGAACAGAGCACAAGATCTGAAGCAAACAGAAGAGAAGATTCTCAAGAGACTGCAGGAAAACTCCGAGGAGCTGGTGCTTCTCGGCCACTGTGCTCCTTCCTCTGCAGCAACCCAAGGCTTTGGCCAGTCTGTCTTCTATTCTTTCCCTGGAAGAAGCCACCTTTAGTCTTGAAGTGAGAGAGGAAATGGAGATCCCAGTTGCTCTGGAAGTGAGCCAGAGGTGAACATCCTCTCGCAGTGCTGATTAGACAGGATTCCCACAAAACAAAACCACCCGTAGAGAGAGACAGAGGATGGGGAGAATTTCTCATTAAAGCCCATTCTGTGATTTTCATGTTTACTCTAGGGTTCTCCCAGGGTTGGTGGGCCAGTGGTTATTTTTTATAAATTACAGAAATTCAGAGACTGTTGGCTGGAAAGACAGCTAGAGATCATCGAGTCCGACCCTCTCATTTTAGAGATGATTAAAATGGGTGCTGGTCCAAAGAAGCATCAAACATTTCTGATCTTTCAAATTAAGGAGTCTGAGTTTTGGTCTCTATTGCTCAAAAACAACAATAATGGCCAAGCAGAACACATGTGTCTCACACGTCTACACATGAGCCAGGAAGGCGTATCCATTCCTCAAACTTAGGAGAAGATGTGTATTAATGAACAAGGAAAGAAACCCCAAAAATGTGCTAATTTCCTCCCTCCTGTAGCTTTTTCTGGCCCCTGTATCTAATGGAAAACAGTACAGTCATTCCTTTGAAATGAAAGCACTTGATGCAGTTGAAAGGGTATTTCAAAGTAGTGTCCTTAAAGCAGTGAGTGGGGCAATGTAAAAGAATCCTTTAATTCTGTGCACCAAGGATGGTCCAAATGGGGATCGACTTTTAAAAATAAATTCGGAATTCCTATGTGTATCACGCACCTTCTGAGCAGATGATTTATGATCACGTGATGGCATCCTAAAGCAAAACTAGGTGGAGTTTCTGCAGATTAAATCAGACTTTGAACCATGTATTTGAGAATCATGATGTTCGAAATACGTAACAGGATTTTTAAAACTCCTTTTGCTTTTTTTTCAAAGATGCTTTCTTAGATTGAGAACTCAGCAGGATTTTTTAAAATGTGTCCAGCAAAGCTGAAGTCTCAAAATAACTGTGAGATGTTTATCAGATCCCTTTCTGAAGCAAAGTTGTTTCGATTTTGATGTACTTACATAAACTTTTTATCCAAGCTGATCAATAGGCCAATAAAATATGCGGGCTGTGCATCATTCTTGTTTACCTAAAAGATGGAAGTTTACACATAGTTCAATCCGTACTCATGTAATAAGAAAATTCTTAAACAAAACCTACTTATTAATGAGGCAGTCTATTTGGGATGTATTCTAAGGAGGGATTAATGCAGAAATTTTGGGGTGCAAAGTTATGCTTTTCATAGAAATAAAAATATTGGGGCACTTGGCTGGCTCAGTCAGAAGAGCATGTGACTCTTGATCTTGGGATCCTGAGTTTGTACCCCAAATTGGGGGTAAAGATGACTTAAACAAACTTTTTATTTAAGTGTTTTTTAATGTTTATTTATTTTTGAGAGACAGAGAGACAGAGTGTGAGGAGGGGAGGGGCAGAGAGAGAGGGAGACAGAGAATGTGAAGGAAGCTCCAGGCTCTGAGCTGTGAGCACAGAGCCCGACACAGAGCTTGAACCCACGAGCTGCGAGAACATGACATGGGTCAAAGTTGGTCGCCTAACCAACTGAGCCACCCAGGCACCCTTTAAATAAACTTTTTTAAAAAGAGAAAAAGAAAAATATACATACTATATATGAACCTGAATTTATAAAATAAATACCTTCAGTCATTCTCTACAAGAGCAAATGCCTGCAGTTATTAGGTTGTTGAAGATATTCTTTAACACAAAGTAACCATTTAATATTTTGCATTTAATATTTTGCAAAGGAAAGACTTTGTCCACATATATATTTGTGCAATATTAGGAAATATCCTAAGTATTTCAAACCAAAATATATCCACAAAGATGCAGAAAGATCGGACTACCCTCAAATACTTTTGTAAGCAAATTAATTTTTATTCTTTCATTACGTTCAACTTATTTTTTTCTGCTCTCCCTCTTATCTTCCTTCTGGCAAGCAAAAGGATGCCATGAAGATTTGTTAAAAGAAATATTAAGTCAATATCTTTGAAAAAAAAACGATAGATTCACTGTTATTTGATACTTTTGGTACAACGAAGAAAGATTTTTATATGTTTTATATGTTTAGCCAACAATGTGGTCCAACTAAGATAGATTTTTAAAAATTTAAAAAAATATTTTATTATTTATTTTGAGAGAGAGAGAAAGAAAGAGAGAGTGCATGAGCAGGAGAGGGGCAGAGAGAGAGAGAGGGAGACACAGAATCCAAGTCAGCCCCATACTCTGAGCCATCAGCACAGAGCCCAATGCGGGGCTTGAACTCACAAGCTGTGAGATCATGACATGAGCCAAAGTCAGACACTCAAACAACTGAGCCACCCAGGTGCCCCGGATTTTTAAATTAACAATCAACTTAAACTAAATCAAATGGTCCAGGATTGATACATAACAACTAGTTAAGAATTATAATCTTTGAAAATCTAATTTGTGAACTCAAAGCCATCACATATGGGTCCTCAAAAAGCATAGCCTGAAAACCATTTCTGGATTCTGTGACTCTGCATTGAATATCTAAGCAATGAGGTCATTCGTTTCTGTTATGGCCACCACCCACTTCTCCTCTGGCATTCACATCTTTCCTCTGACCTTAGAAAATTCAAATTTAGCACCTCATTTGAAATTGTGCCAGTAGAAGACATTATCTTTGCCTATCACATATCCCTGTTTCATTCTTAAATAATGATATTCTTACATATTTCCATAGAAACTTCTTTTTACTTTCACTCTGAATAGAAACAAGATCACCAAAGTTCTTTTTGCAAAATGCTCGGGCGTTGTCCATGGTTTCCTTCTCTTTGCTAAAATAATACTGGTAATCCTTGTAAATAACCCACCCATCTTCAGTGACTGGTGGATCTGAAAAATTAATGAAAAAGGGTGGTGAATTTTACTCAGATAAATTCAGGCATCTGGTACGTGTGGCGCACAAAAGCGAAAAGGCCAGAGTAGCTTTATCAGAGCGATCAGCACGTCCAAGAGCCCAGAGTAAGCAGGATGTTTACTCCAAACACAGACTGAATTGCCTAAAGCCAGGTATCCACTCTGCACCAAATCTGGAACTTTATCTTCTCAGTTAAGTTCCATGTGTCATCATTGGGTAAAAGAACTCCCAGTGTAACTTCCATCAAAGGGATCACATAGCGGACAGGACTTACATACCTGTACCCATGATGTTCTGAGTTCAAGAAGTGAAAGCTGTGAGAAATCAGCTTTCATCTCAATCTAAGGAAGAGTCTGTAACAATGGACTTGGGTGCTTTAGTGTATAACTGAGAACCAATGAACTGACATACGAGGAGGGCTCCTAAGCCTTCTCTGAAACCGTGGTATTCTACAGTTCTGTGCTCTAGTAGGCTGAGTAAGAGCCCCCAAAGATATCCATGTCCTAAGCTCTGGAATCTGTTACCTTACATGGAAAAAGGCACTTTGTGTGCACGATTAAATTAAGGATCCTTGGAGGAAGTCATTATCCTAGATTATCTGGGTGGGTCCTCATGTAATCACAAGGATCCTTAAAGTGGGAGATCCGACTACAGAAGAAAAGGATGATAAAGGAAGGAAAAAGGAAGCAAGATCGCTATGCTGCTGGTTTTTCAGGATGGAGGAGGGGGCCACAAACTAACTGCAAGGGAGGTAGTTCGAGAAGTTAGTAACGGCAAGGGATCAGATTCTGGAGGAAGCAGGGCCCTGCCGATTTTGACCCAGTGAAGCTGAGTTCCTATTTCTGATCTTCACATCTATAAGGGAATAAATGTGCTTTGCTTTAAGTCACCAACTTTGTGGTCATTTGTTACAGCAGCCATGGGAAACGAAGACAGTACTAAAGAGAAAACCTGGGCCCTTGGATTATGATCCAAGAGCCCTTGACACACTGTATGAAAATGCTTTGTTTTTGTGCATGTTAGCATCTGTTCCGGAGGAAAAGATGCAGACTTCCACAGCATTCTCAGAGATATTAAGAACTCCGCTCTTTCTAGGTGAAGTATTTTTCATGGAGAATGGAAAGAGCAAAAGAACCCATCAGTGTGGAGATCACGAAATAAGGAAACACCTACTGTCTTGAGGAGCTGGTGTGGGCTCAGGCTTCGGTGTTTGACCTGGAGAGCAAAAGAAAATCAGATTATAAAGTGTGCTTGAACTTCTGCGATCACATGTCCTTCTAATTTTACAATTTACATGGGTCGAAACAGCTAAAAATGTAGCTGTTCTCTCTTTCTCTCCCTCCCTTCCACTCCTCAATTGTTCTACCATATTGTGGAGGAGGAGCATGAAGGCTAAGAGGACAGTAACGGCCACCGGAAATTGGAAGACACTTTTCAGACCCAACAAATGGTGTCCCAGAAAGGAACACAAGTTTTGGAATCAGAAAGCCTAGTTTCAAATCCCAGACTGGGGTTTAAACCACCTACCTTCAATTCTGTCAGCTGCTAAAAGAAGTTAGTAGCATGTGTAAAGAGGCAGGGTAAATTATGTGCACTATCGGTATGCAGAAGGTACTCAATAAATGTTAGGTCGACAGTTATACATCTCATGAGGAGCTGTGAACTTAAAACGTCACGATTTGAAACCACTAAAGACGAACTATTTATTGATAAAATATTTTTCCAAGAATCTGATTTTTGTTAAATGTATCTTATCCTCAAAGTTAAATGAAAAATTTTTCTTTCCAAGGAGTTAATGATATATCTGGACTTTGTCAGAATCTGATAAAAGGACTCAGGTTACCCAGCCTTTGGCTTAAGTACTTAACATCTGGAAGAAGAGAGTTACTAATGATGCGTAAGTCGTTGGTAACTAGGAGACCTCTAAGGAAAATCTGGCCACTATTTATTCCTCCACTCTGAAAACTCTGAAAGCACTAATCTATGCACAAGAGAGGAAAACAAGCAGACACAACACGAGAGCAACCCAATGTCTCTAGTAGTGGATTTGGGGCAGTAGCCAAAGTCCCGCAACAGTAGAGGGCAGTGTGGTCCCACAAGCTATATACAAAATGAGGAAGATTCTGTATATTGTGGTTCAAGGGACTCTGTTTGTTCCTTTATCTTAACAGAAGAACCTGGATCCTCTGACCTCAACGCCTGACTTGGGTATGTGGGACTTTCTGAATGCCAGATCATGACTTACAGTGTGCACTAATACTCTTTTGACCATCATAAACATAGTGGCTATGACAGCATCGAGGGCCTCAAAATGGTGCTTGTTCTTTGTGTTGAATATTTATTTAAGAAATCAACATTTAGAATATTCGGACATTGGGAAACTTTTACCTACTGGATGGCTCACATAGGTCAGAGGATGAATATTCCAAAGAAGAAATAGCATGCAGATTACTCTACCTACAGAGTAGAACGCCCACCCACTCCCATCCCTATAGAATCACAGCTCGTGGGAACTATTTTAGAGGACGTGACTGTCATCCAGGATTGCAGGTGGCCTTTTGATCTTCTGTTCCTTTGGAACATTTATCTGTGCCCAGTGACTTCATTCTTATCCTGTGAAATGATGGTCCTGTCATTTCCCTTATTTGGTTATTTTGTCTGTTTGGTTCTGCTAATAAAAGGAAAATCCTGGGATATCAGGAGGTTAGTTCTCCAATGTGACATAAAATAGAGGACAGGTACCATACCTTTTTGTATCTGGCAAATCCAGTTGTTAAGATGTTCACAGTTAATATCATTCCAGGACATACTAGAGTCACCTTTCAACTCACCACAGTATTCAACATTTTGATAATTATTAGGTTCTCCATAAGCCCAATTTTCATATGAAACCTATGTCAGAAACATTACATTGCAACCATTCATCATTTAAGTAATTTAAATCAGGCCATTGCCAATCATTTATCTAAGCACAGGAAACAAAGGAAAGGCATAGCAACATTTTTTAATCCATTCACTTTTTTTTTGCAATAGCTTTGTTTTGGAAGCAAGGTTTATGAAAATGGGTGGGAAAGAAATAGCTTTCATTACATGGAAACTTTCAAAGTTGACTAGAATATGCTATTATTATAAAATTTTCTTTGGTCTTACTGATGAATGGATCCAGGGCCTGGAAAGTGGATATCTATATGGGAAAAACCTGGTGAAAAAGTTCTATTTGTCATTATTGGGTGTTCCTAAATCTCTAACCCATTCTTAAGTGGTAACGTTTCAGTGGGATGTTGGAAATTTTCTCTTTATTAGGTAGGAGAGAGAAATAGAATTTGTTTTTCTAATCAAAGAAAAAGACTTAACAAAATGCTGCTAATAGAACTCCATAACTTCACCTAAAAGAACAGTGGAAATAAATGGAGGGCTGGGTGGGTGTAGAACCCCTTTGAAGTTTTCAGTGTAGAATCATTGCCAACAGAGTTTAGACTAAGCATTTTCCAGAGATATCAATATGAAGCCCAAGTGTCAGAGGAGCTATCAAATAAATCACTTTCCTCAAGTGCCTTGAAAAGTTGCTGATGGGCTCTAAGAGGAGGTAGAAATGAAATTACACAAAATCACTTCCTGCGATGACCAGACCACTAAATACTGCCACCACGTGTCATAGCCTCACACTTCCCCATTCTTAGGAATGGGGAAGGCTGACAAGGTCCAATGGTTATTAATGGATTCTCAAAAACTGTTTCCAGATCTCCTGCTCTATAAGATGCTATAAACCACTCAATTTTTTATATTAAGTTTTAAATTTTAATTCCAATACAAATCAAAACCACACTGAGATACCACCTCATGCCAGTCAGAGTGGCTAAAATGAGCAAATCAGAGGACTCTAGATGCTGGTGAAGATGTGGAGAAACGGGCACCCTCCTACACTGTTGGTGGGAATGTAAACAGGTGCAGCCCCTCTGGAAAACAGTGTGGAGGTTCCTCAGGAAACTAACAATAGAACTCCCCTAAGACCCAGCAATAGCACTGCAAGGAATTTACCCAAGGGATACAGAAATGCTGAGGCATAGGGGCACATGTACCCCAATGTTCATAGCAGCATTCTCCACAATAGCCAAAACATGGAAAGAGCCTAAGTGTCCATCGACAGATGAATGGATCAAGAAGATGTGGTTTATCTATACGATGGAATACTACATGGCAACGAGAAAGAATGAAATCTGGCCATGTGTAGCAACATGGATGGGACTTGAGGGTGTTATGCTGAGTGAAATAAGTCAGGCAGAGAAGGACAGATACCATATGTTTGCACGTATAGGAGGATTAGGAGGAACTTAACAGAGGACCATGGGGGAGAAGAAAGGGAAAAATAGTGGGGAAGAGGGAGGGAGGCAAACCATGAGAGACTCTTGAATGCCAGAACAAACTGAGGGCAGATGGGGTGGGGGGGAGTGGAAGGGGGGTGATGGGTATGGAGGAGGGCACTTGTGGGGATGAGCACTGGATGTTATGTGGAAACCAACTTGACAATAAACTATGTTAAAAAAAATAATAAAATAAATTTTAATTCCAATATAGTTAACCTACAGTGTTACGTTTGTTTCAGGTATACAAGATAGCGGTTCAACAATTCCATATACATTCCTCAGTGCTCCTGATGGTTAAGTGTACTTTTAATCCCCTTCACCTATTTCACCTCCCTCCTGCCCCTTTGTGAACCATCAGTTTGTTCTCTATAGTTAGGTGTCCATTTCTTGATTTGCCTCTCTCTTTTTTCCTCTGCTCATCTGTTTTGTTTCTTAAATTCCACATATGAGTGAAATCATATGATATATGTCTTTTTCTGACTGACTTATTTCAGTCAGAATTATATTCTCTAGCTCCATCCATGTTGTTACAAATGGCAAGATTTCATTCACTTTTATGGCTGAATTATATTCTGGATTTTTATGGCTGAATAAACATAAGTATTGATGGACACATGGGCCGCTTCCAAAGTTAGCTGTTGTAAATAATGCTGCAATAAACACAGAGGTACATGTACACCTATGAATTACTATTTTTGTATTTTGGGGTTAAATACCCAGTAGTGCTATTACTGGTTTATATGGTAGTTCTATTTTTAAGTTTTTTTAAAAAAATATTTACTTGGGAGAGCTCAAGCCAGGGAGGGACAGAGAGGGGGGGACAGAGGATCCAAAGCAGGCTCTGTGCTGACAGCAGCGAGCCTGATGTGGTGCTCAAACTCAAAAAATGCAAGATCACGACCTGAGCCAAAGTCCAACACACACTCAACTGACTGAGCCACCGGGGTGTCCCTATTTTTAACATTTTGAAGATCCTCTATACTGTCTTCCACAGTGGCTACATCAGTTTGCCTTCCTACCAACTGTGCACAAGGGTTTCTTTTTCTCCACAGCCTCACCAACACGTGTTTAGAACTCAACTTTTGGGATACTTGGGTGCCAGTTGGTTGAGTGTCTGACTTTTGATTTTGGCTCAGGTCATAATCCCGGAGTCGTGAGATTGGGCCCCATATCGGGCTTCATGCTCAGCATGCTTAAGATTCTCTCTCTCTCTGCCCCTCTCCCCCACTCATGCTCTCACTCTCTCACTAAAAAAATAAAAATTTAATAAAAATTTAAAAATACTTAAAAATTTTTAAGAACTGTAACTACTTGCACACCAAGTTCACATGACAGAATGAAAACATTATTTTATTTAACCTAGATCAATGAGTTTTCTAATTTTTTTAAATCTAGTAAGCTATGCTTATACCTTGGGTGAACAGAACTAAATTAGGACAAGGGCAGAATAATAACCCTAAAAAAGGAATTATTTTTGCATAGAAAAATGTTTCTAGCTATCCTAATAACCTGTTTTACCGAAAATTTAGATTAAGCCAAAGGGTAGCATCAAAATAAATACATGATAAAGTAAAAAAATAATATGCCAAATCAATAAATTACTCACAGGAGAGCCATCACTCCAAGTAAAACCCTCTGAAGGACTTCCATATGTGAGTCCCAACCAAAACAGTTCATGGTAAGTTCCGGTAGCCCTGCAATTAACAAGACATAAAGAGAGCTCATACTACTGGATGAAATAAGTCTGGTTACTTAAAGAGATTTGTATGGTAACCTAATGAGACAAATATGAGAGCTAATCAAATTTGAAAGTTATCTTCAAAACCTAAATGAGTACACAGGTAAAAAGATTCAGTGACTATAAGCATTAGCAACTGTGCATTTTGCGAGAGCCCTGAAATATCCTCAAAGGGAACCACTATTTGAGAATATATAATTATAAAACATTGAAAGAAAGTCATTCATTTATTCATTTAATAACATGTATTGAGTGTCTTGTACTTCTATAGAGTAATTCATCACAGGATTTCTATCTATAAAATTAAGCATTTGTAAGTGAAACTAGATTTAAAAGGTCCTATGGATTTGGGATACAGTACAGCCACTCAGTGTAGCATCATGAGCCAACAATTTCTGAAATAGAATTTTCTCAACACCATAGCATCAAATAGGTAAAAGGAATATTACATAAAAAAGACACTTACGCTATTAGTCTCCATATTGTTTGCTGTTCCTCTTTGTTATTGATACTGGCTAGGTCACCGCCCAGAGCTTTACAAAAATCTCGAGATTCAAACCATGTTTTCTTCTCATGTTTTCCTTTTGCAAACAGCTAAAGACGATATAGTTTCAGAAGTTATTTTATACTTCATAGCTTATCAAATAAATAATTATTTACTTTCGATGAGATTTCATTTTATAGATAGAAAGACATTGCAGTGGTGTAAAACAATGTAATTCTCTTGGTTGAAAATCAGTTTAGGAGTATTTGGATAATAAACCAGATAGGATGGTTTTATTGAGAAGAGATTAGAAAATAAAAGTATTTCATAGCGCAGGGGTAATTAGATAAAAATCTTGGAAGTTATAGGCATATGGTTAGGTATACAGCTCATTGCAGAAGACAGGATTAATTTGGTTAGTTGGGAAAAGTAGCATCGAGATAAGAAAGAGAAGAACACTTGATACAGAGAAAGTAAACGAGTAAGGAAAACCTCAAAGAAAACAAAAATTGTGGCATAGTTTGTTACCCTGTCTAGTTTGAACAAAAACACCTGACAGTCTTTCAGTCTTTCACTGCCAGTGTCTTTTGCAACTGTTTTGGTTTTTTTTCTTACAATTGCATATTTTAACAACCATTGGAGCACACATCACAAGAGACACTTACTTGGCCAAGCTTCCAAAAAGATGGGTTATAAACTGAACTAAATTTTAATAGATTATATGATTTAGGGAATATCTTGAATTATCCAGAGGGCTACAGTGAAATGGAATCCCAGACTGGGAAACACCGATCAGTATGCAAATAGTATAGGAGTCTGCTGTATCCAAGAGTTTTGTGATTTTCATTCACTATTTCTCACGAGTCATGTCCCGCACCATCACAGGCTTGTGCAAAATGGGATTTGCTTCCGATGGACTAAGACTGCCCAGCTGTCACCAAGCAACCCAAGGCAATCTTCATCTTGACCCTAACCTCAGCTATCTGGACAAAAGTGCTTTGAGCGAGCTTTCACATCATGAACTCCCAACACTTCTGTGGGCATTCCAACCTGCTAGATTGTTAGACTTCATTTTCTTAAATAAATTTACTATCACCTAAATTTTAATAATAATTCCCACATCTTAATATGTACAAAGATGGTCTATATATTTCCAAACAAACCTATGTAAGCACCCCTAAAACTATATAATTTTCTAATGAAGTACATATTTCAATGTGTTGAATGTCTACTGGATAACATCTCTACCAGAACTCACTTCCCAGATCTGGAGAATTCTACCACTTCTCTCAAAATCCTCCTATGGATCTCCATAGCCTATCACCCCCAGATGAATGGCTGTGTATAGGATAAACTTGGCCTTTGTGTAGTAATTCAAAAGTATCCAGATGCAATAATAAATACCAGATTTGCTTTGTCTTAGTCCTCGATGAACCCATTTCCAAAATCCTCTCCTGTCTTGGCCCAATACATTCCCTTCTGTGTAAATTATGCATTTAGTCCTGACTGGCCAATCAGGATTGAACAGTTTAGCAACATCTACTGCTAGGAGTGGGAATGAGTAACTCAACCACCTGTACCCCTTGAGCTACAGAAGACTGAATAGTCTCATTCTGATACACATTAGTAATTCAAGTTTTCCCTCAGCCTTACCTAGCTGTCTTACAAGGTACACCATGGCCACATGCCACCAAAGGGTCTGAATAAAAGAGGTCCTGGGAGTGGGGTGCTAGAGAATAATATCATTAAGTGGTAGATAAGCACATTTCCGTATTTGACTAAGTCTAACTTTCTTGGGAAAGGATATGACTTACAAGAGTGAAAGAAGACCCAAATGCATAATTCACTGAGGTTTTTGTCTCTTTGTTTTGCTCAACTTGACCGCATAAGGAGAAAATGGATGGTGTGAACTTGGAATGTAATAAACGATAATGAAATATCAAATCGTCATTTAAAGGACACTGAACAGCCATATGCCCGTACTGAGTCATGCCCTCATTGCCCATTGGGCATAACAACCAGGGGCTAAATCAGAACAGTGGAGCATTACCTCTGAGATGCCTCAGTGGCACTACTGTTAGACTCATTTATCAGTGTAGTTACCTAAAAGCTTGGGCTCTAAGAATAGGGTAAAATGAGCCAGATGAGGGGAGACAGAAATTTTTGTGCCAAGTGCAAGCTCAGATGAGGGTAAGGAAGCCTAGGAGGGGCAGTGAGGGGGTGGTGAAGCAGAGCAAGTGAGGAAAGCTGTTGTGAGCAGTGTTCGAGGGTCTAAATGCAATGGTCATTAGCATGCACCCAAGGAGAGCTTTTCAAAACACTGAACTCCGGGGCCCCTTCCAGATTCGTAGCGTCAGAACTTCTACAGGTAGAGCCTGAGTGCTGTGGTTTGTGGGGTCCGTTTGCATTCCTCGTGTGATTCCTGAGACTGACACACAGTCCACATGCTTTATTCACTTAGCAATTGATAGTCACCTTGAAACACAAGCTCGATTTACTGCTGGCGCCCCATTCCTCAGGACATTTGGGTTCGGGAGTTGTAGTGGGCTCTGGCGGGCGAGTTACTCCTTCTGCCCAGTGTTTGCACACAAATTTTGCTTTTTCTTCACATCTCAAAACATCCCACAAGCCCCCAGCAACTCCGGTTCTCATGGCCACACATCCTGCTTTTCGCCCTGTATTCAACACATAAAGGAAAATTCACTTAGCAGGAGCTACTGACGGCTGGCCCTGCTCGCGGTTCAAACCCAAGGGTCAACCAGTGCGGTACAATCTTCATGGGAAGAGAGTACACAGAGGAGAAATTCCTGCAGCATTTGGCAACTCATTTGTACTATTTTTGAACTATTATTGACCTTTTGTTTGTGTGGCCAAAATCCCTAACAGAATTATGAGCTCAAATGTCAGGGTTTTGATAATATTTTGCATTCCTTTTTTTTTAATGCTTTATTTATTTCTAGGAGAGAGAGAGAGAGAGAGATAGCGTGAACAGGGGAGGGTCAGAGAGAGAGGGAGTCACAGACTGAAACAGGCTCCAGGCTCTGAGCTGGCAGTCAGCACAGAGCCCGACGCGGGGCTCGAACCCACGAACCGCGAGATCATGACCTAAGCGAAAGTCGGACGCTTAACCGACTAAGCCACCCAGGTGGCGCCCCAATATTTTGCATTCCTAACATCTGGCAGGGTGCCCCCTCCACGTATATATTTAATGATACAATAATTTTAGTACAACAAAATTGACCATAATGGCAAAATAGTGCTTTCATGGAGGTTTTTTCTTTTTTTAAATAAACTTTTTTAAGAGCTCTTCCCCCCCCCCCCCCCCACAGGCTTTGGAGTTCTCTCAGAACAGAAATTCTTCACATACTTCAAAGAGAGATACAACTGCGCTAGAGATTTTAGTTACTGACTGAATACTCAACTACCCTCGAACTTGCTTCCTCATCTTACAATGCAATATCACTAGCTCTACCTTACAGAGTAGTGATGAATGCCAGCTTTCATGGATTAAAAAAAAAAAAAAATCATAGAAAATAAGGACTATAATAAGCTCAATAATTTATAAATCTGTTTTACAGTTGTTGTTATTTCCAAATATTAATTCATTCTGAGAGAACTTTGAAGACAGTAGGAGTCTTTGTTAGAATGAGATATTTTCTTATTATTACTCTTTTTTTTTTAGATTTATTTTAATGTTTATTTATTTTTGAGAGACAGAGCATGGATAGGGGAGGGTCAGAGAGAAAGAAGGAGACACAGAATCTGAAGCAGGCTCCAGGCTCTGAGCTGTCAGCACGGAGCCCTATAGGGAGCTTGAACCCACAAACTGTGAGATCATGACCTGGCTTGACTGACTGAGCTACTCAGGTGCCCCTTAATGGACATTAAGTGTCTAAAGATAAATCTCAAAGTTCTGGGGAGGCACACCTTTTTCAAAACATTTTCTCTAAGATCTCTGATCTTATAATAAATGTTAAAAAAAATTTTAAAAGAAATAAAAATTAACATCACCACTCCTACTGATACTTAAAAAAAGTATATAATCAGCTCTTATTCTCCTGCCCAATTTAAAAATAAACTGAAATCACACAGGTTTTCAGGACACTTAATAATTCACCCAAAATCGCGCTATCCAAATTACTGATTTTCTTTATTTGTCAATAATTTGAGAATACAAATTAAAAGAACTTCTGAAGATCAGGACTTACTAAGCCAAGTAGTAAATCCATGCACTTGAGCACACAGTCTTGCTTTAGCGTCTAGCCCGGACACAACCAAACATTTGCTGTAAAGGACATGGAGGTTCTGCACGGTGTCCCACTGAATAATGTCATATGCTATGATACCAGCGTATAAAGAAGGCAAACAGTCCTTCAGAGGCTGTTTCCAGAACCACTGACTAGGGAAGACAAATTGAAATTGACAGGGAGGCATAGTGGTGTTCGTGCAAATAGCACAGATTTGGGAATTACACCGGCGAGTCTAAATCCAGGCTTGGAATATTTCTAGTCACATAAATTTTCTGAGTTCCAGTTTCCACATACCTTAATTTGCCTTAGAGGTTTCTTCTAAGGATAAAACAAAATCCAAGATATATAAAGGGCAAAGAAGGGCAGCATACACAAGACAGTGTAATCATGATTCCCTGCCCCACCCCTGAAACATACTAATATTTCCACTCACCTTTGCAGTACCAAATTTTAAATCTCTTTAATATAGTTTTAAGTTTACAAAAATAAGTTAACTATCTGAAACATCTGTGCTTATTTAGGATTTCATAAATATTTTTCAAACAGAGCAATACCAGACAACTAGTAGTTTACCTTCCCTGTTTTTTTGACCACTGTGAACTAATTAGAAAATTTTTAAAAAGAATGAAATATAAAATGCCGCAAGCACAATTAATTTACGTGGTGTCTTTGGAAAGGTACACGGAGGGATACTAGGCTTTGCCCAACGCACTTGTAGGGTGAGTGAAAACCACAGCCCCGAGCACTGTACATACCTGGCATATCTGAATTCCAGTGGGTAAACTGAACGTTTTCCTCAATGGTCCACTGAAAGGTGCCTTTGTTTTGTACATCTGAAAGTCCTGTCCAAAAATATCTTTCAGGCCTCAATCCAACCAAACTAGTTAGATATGCTTGTTCATATCTTAAAAGAAAAAAAATTAACTACATTTTAGAAATGTGATTTTTTCCAAAGAGCAACATACAAAACATCCTAAGTAGGTGTTGGAGCTATGATTTAGTTGGTACTTCAAACATATTGTGTTTTAAATTATATGTCATTTAAATTACACAAATTTCTACTAAGGAAATGAGGGGGAAATATCATAGAGCTGACTGAATAAAATTAAATATACTCAAACCGTGTCTGTCTATTCCTCACCAGGCCTTCCCCTAAAAGAATTCTGCAAAGGCAAACTATAGCATTCTAAAACACATTGTTTAAAAAATTAGTCCACTTTCCAAATATTTCAAATGCCCTAAACAGTTTTTGGTCAAGTCAATTCTGGGGTCATAACATTATCAAGGATGATACAGACAGAAAAATCTGGGTGGATTTCCCCCTCACATTTTATTGTCTTCCTCAGGTCTGACACAGAAGGGAAAATTATTGAGAAATAATAGAGAAGCAGAGATTCAATCTCTAGAAAGAAATGGGAGAAGAATCACAAATTCCCACATTTCCTCTTTGGATCTCATCCATGTGTTTGGCATAATCTGCCAATGATACAATTTGGTTCATAAAGCAACCAAAGTTGGCCTTCACTGATAAACATTAAGTAATGAGGCCACAATGTAGGCAAAAATTTTTCTTTGGAGAAAAAAAAAAGTGAAAAAGTGATGTTCACAGTGTCCAGGAACAAAGAGAGGTGTGTGACTCCAGAGAATGCAGAGAGGAAATGTAGAGGTTATAGTAATGGAATGTTTACTTGACTCTAATCTGAATAATTTCATTCTCTCAATTGAACAAACAAAAAATGTTTAAAGTCCTAAGCTCAATTTCTCCCAAATGTCTAGAAACCAAATTTAAGTACAGTTAGCGAGCTCCTGAAGAGAACTATAGAAAATGTGAGGGAAAACAAACCTAAAATATAGGGAAATCTCTGCTCCAATAAAGCAAAAAATCAATAAACCAACTGATCACTTGATCAGTCAAGATTAATCTGCACATAGTGCAGATCAGAACAATACACAGATAAAACACATTTTATCAAGTGTGCCTTGAAAGGCCAATGTATATAACTTATTGTATTAAAACTCAATGTGTTTTCACCTTTTTATGACAAATGCACACCTTCAAATTTCTTGGGGCACCTGGGTGGCTCAGTCGGTTGAGCATCCCACTTCGGCTCAGGCCATGATCTCATGGTTTGTGAGTTGGAGCCCTGAGTCGGCTCTGTGCTGACACCTGAGAACCTGAAGCCTGCTTCTGATTCTTTGTCTTCTTCTTTCTCTGCCCCTCCCCCTCTCTCATGCTCTGTTTCTCTCTGTCTCTCTCTCCAAAATAAATAAACATTAAAAAATAATTTTCTCTAAGTTTCTTCTGTGCCTAATCTAGTGCTTTGCAGAGATTAAGAGAAAAGTAAAAACTAAAACCTCAAAGATGTCTGGTACTCTAGAGGTCAAAAGTTATATAAAATACTCTACATCTATGTGATTTTTCTGGACCTATCAGTCTAGCAAAACTAGCAAAGAAAAGAAGAGAAAAGCAAAGTAAAGAAAAAGAATAGAAGAATGTAAGGGAATAATAAAATATTCACTGAATCTCTCTACCCTCTTTTTTGGTGGAGACAGTGGTAAAGATAGAAAGTGGCATTTCTGAACCAATAAATTCTAGTTTTTCTGCTTTAAGAAATTTGATATATACTAGATCAGAAAAAAGTTAGGTCCATAAACTATGTTTACTAGAATATTACTTTTCTGAAATGAAATTATAATGAAATTATATAATTCATATAATAACATAATGAAATTATGTGACTGAAAATTGCTTTTGAGTTCTAAAAGGAGCAAAATATTTTATAGTACTTACAATGAAGAAGCTAAATACGGATTCTTTGGATGTAGCATAATTTTCAATGCTACTACTTCTGCAAATCATACCTCAAGATCATATGTAATTTACAGAAATTTAGAGCGTGTTGATACTTAGGCTTCTCTGGGAACATTTCATTATTTGACATGCATTAAAATAGAATTAAAATAGTTGCATACCTGTCTTCAACAGTTGTTAAGTAAGCCTTCTCATTTACACAGGTTTGGTTTGCTTCTGTAAATGTTGACAGTGTGTGTCCAATCAAATAGCAGTAGAAGCCATGTCTTTTCCAGCCCTATTAATGTTATCAAGCAGATTATCATGGATATTTATTAAATAAAATTATTTTAATAACTCCCCCATCATGAAACATAAATTGTCAAATAACAAAGGTATCTAAAGAGCACAAATCTGAAAAGTTTGAGATGCAATGACAATTATTTATGTGAATAAAGAAAAGAGTAGAAGTGTATTGTTCTTCATATGACAAATTATGACACAAAACTAGGGGCAGGGCATTCATTCTCTCCACTTCTGAGACATTGTCTAACAAAAGCGATTTGTGAAATGCTTACTGGGGAAACGGAACAGAATACCCAAGATTTCAGTATCAGAATAGGTAACCACAGGAAGTAACTGTAGAGTAGCAAGCCTAGTTGCCTACTGAAGTCAAAAAAAAAAAAAAAAAAAAGATGATGACTATAAAACTGTATCATCTGGCCCTGGAAGAATACATATCAAACTTCTGGCAACACGATTTGGCATGGCTCCTTTCCCATCCATAAAACACACAGAAATGCTAAATAAAAACATAACAATAGGGGCACCTGGGTGGCTCACTGGGTTAAGCATCCTGACTCTTGATTTTAGCTCAGGTCACAATCTCACAGTTTGTGAGATTGAGCCCCTCTTCCAGCTCTGTGCTGATAGCATGGAACCTGCTTGGGATTCTCTCTCTCCCTCTCTCTCTCTGTGTGCCTCTCTCAAAATAAATAAATAAATTTAAAAGAAAAACAATAAAGAAAAAAACTTCCATACTAGAGTTCAAGACAAAGAAGAGGATATCTCTAGGAACCAAAAATCTACAGAAAGCTAAAACACTAGAATGGGAAATACTCAAGCTGATGCTGTACTTGCCCTGCTGTGCACCAAACTCAGATTAAGGTACTAGGGTCTGGGACAGGGGTACTAATCTCCACACGAATGAGTGTACTTGGCCATCAGCCCCCCTGAGGCAGGGGAGTGGGACTGAAGTCCTTACATAAAGATGGTACCCACTAAGGGGAGCCCCACCGAAAAAAGGACAGTGAAACACTCTACTCACTGAACCAAGAAATGACAGTTTCTTGTCATCTTCCTGGGGTTCTTGGGGCAGGGAAAAAAATTCTTCTGTTAAAAAGAACTACCAATTCTGTGCCAGAGATGGGAGGGTCCCAACTCGACACTATTCGCATCGCATTGAAAGCCACAGCCAAAAACATAAAATAAATCTCAGTCTACAAAAGGAGAAATTCCTAGTCATTCAGAGAAGTCAAATGCAGAAACACACAAGAGAAGTATTTCCACAATAGAGGTCATGTAAGACTATGGCATTTAAGGCTTAGGGAGGGGAGGGGATGGGCACTGATTGAAACAAAAATTACAAACCATGTGAGGCTCACATTCAGGGAAAGTCAGTAGTTGACTTTCTGGAAAAAAAATATAGAAGTAAGCATGCTTCAGATGCTATAACAAAAGAAAACAAAAGAAGACAAAGAAGCAGAACGAATAATGAAAGAACAAAACGTTATGAACAGAGAAGAAGAGAATGTAAAGACATAACAAACAGAATTTCTAGAAAAGAAAACCATAAAGTTAAAAACTCAGTGGCCGGATTAAATATAGAAATGTGGTTTTAGAAAGATTAGTCAATTGAATGAATGTAGCAGAGGGATGAACTTATGAAAAGCAATTTAAGAACACAGAGAGAAAACACAGAATAGAATGAGAAGGTGGAAAATCAACCTAAGAAACATTGAATCACCAAATAAAATTAATGACTGATAATTTTCAAGATTTATAGTTAAATTTTTTAAACATTTATTCATTTTTGAGAGACACAGAGAGACAGAACATGAAGGGGGAGATGCAGAGAGAGAGGGAGACACAAAATCCTAAGGAGACTCCAAGCTCTGACCTGTCAGCACAGAGCCTGACAATGGGCTCGAACCCATGAACCAGGATATCATGACCTGAGCCAAAGGTGGAAGCTCAACCGACTGAGCCACCCAGGCACCCCAATAATTTTCAAGATTTAAAAAGAAAGAGATAAATTCTGAAAATGAAGAAGCACACTGAGTACCAAAAAGAAGAAAATTAATCTAAATCTCAACATACTGTATTAAAAGCCTGCAGAATGGCAAAGACAATGAGTACATCTTAAAATCATTCAGAGAGAAAATACAAGTAACCGTTTTTTTTAAAAGAAGAACTAGGGACGCCTGGGTGGCTTAGTTGGTCAAGCATCCCAATTTTTGGGGTGCCTGGGTGGCTCAGTCCATTAAGCGTCCAACTCTCGGTTTTGGCTCAGGTCATGATCTTGTGGTTTGTGGATTTGAACCCCTCACTGGGCTTTGTGCTGACAGTTGGGAGCCTGGAACCTACTTTGGATTCTGTGTCTCCCTTTCTCTGCTCTTCCCCTACTTGTGTTCTACCTGTCTCTGTCTCTCTCTCAAAAATGAATAAACATTAAAAAAATTTTAATAAGAAAGTTAAAAAGAAGAATTAGTCTAATAATAGAAATTCCAATGGCAAAAATAAAGGCCAGGAGAAAATGAAATAATCCTGAGTCATTCAGTAAGTTAAGCATTTGACTCTTGATCTCAGCTCAGGTCGAGTTCAAACCCTATGTTGGGCTCCACACTGGGTGTGGAGCCCACTTTAAAGTATATACATGTACTATATATATATATATACACACATATACAGAAGTGTATATACATACACACACACACACACACACACACACACACACACACAAACATACACACACACAGCATTTTAAAACAATCTCCCCAAGTTACTATGCAAGGTGAGAGTGGATCAAGGCATTTTCAGATAAAGACAGAGAGTTTTCCACTCCCAAATCACCAGTGAAATCACTGAAAGTTTTATCTGTCAAGAAGGAATTTTAAATTAGGAGAAACAAAAGGGCTAAAAGCCTACACTGAGCAAAAGAACCAGTAAATGTCTAAGTGAGTCCAGGTCTAAATGCCTGTACTAACAGCAATGATAACTATTTCCAGATGGGAAGTTAAAAGAATGGGAAATTAACAAGATGTGTAGTTTAAGCAAAATAAGTCAATCAGAGAAAGATCAGTATCATATGACTTCACTCATATGTGAAACTTAAGAAACAAAACAGATGAATATAGGGAAAGGGAAGGAAAAATAAGATCAAAACAGAACGGGAGACAAACCATAAGAGACTCTTAAATCCAGAGAACAAACTGAGGGTTGCTGGAGGAGACTTGGGTGGGGGGATGGGCTAAATGGGTGATGGGCATTAAGGAGGGCACTTGTTGGAATGAGCACTGGGTGTTGTATGTAAGTGATGAATCACTGAATTCTATACCTGAAACCATTATTGCACTATATGTTAACTAATTGACTTGAAATAAAATTTTAAAAATATACTCTAAAAAAATAAAATTAGAGATAGACTCTAAAAATAGAGGTTTATCAGTATTACATATTTAATTCTTACAAGAATCCTGTGAGATAAATACACATTAATGTTCCTATTAAAAAAACAAACAGAAGATGTGTAGTTTAGTTAATATACTATATCCATGTATCACCTAGCTTTAACATTTTACTCCTCACATGAGAAGTTCTCACCAGAGGTCACAGAGGGAATTCTCTGTACTCTGTTTTCCAGTTTCTTGAGAGTTTAACATGATTTGCAAGTTTAAAAAATATTTTAGGGGCAACTGGGTGGCTCAGTTGGTTAAGCATCCGACTTTGGCTCAAGACATGATCTCACAGTTCGTGAGTTCAAGCCCTGCTTCAGCCTCTGTGCTGACAGCTCAGAGCCTGCCTGCTTTGGATTCTGTTCATGTCTCTCTCTCTGTCTCTCCCCACTCACACTCTGTCTTTCTCTCTCTCTCTCTCTCAAAAATAAATAAATATTAAAAAAATTTAAAAATTTTTAATGTTTAAATGAATAATAAACTTTATTTTGTCCAGGAAGCAGAGAGAGATGTTGATTAACTTCAAGTCAGAAATGTGTGTTAAAAACATAAGGTTAACCATTAAAAAAAATAGAAAGAGAACCATCCCCAAACCCATAGAGTAGAAAAATGGGATAAAAATATTCAAGAGAACTAATGGAATGCAAGAAAAGACAAACAAGACAGGAGAGAACACAGAACAGTGAACAAAATAAAGCTCAAAATAAGATGGTAAAAACAAACACAAATATATAAATGTGCAAAACAAAAATCTAAACTCACGTTTGCCAGTAAAAAACCAAGAGTTCCTCAAAGGAGATAAAAAATAAAAATGCAGATATATTTTTAAAAGAGCCATTCAATGATATAGAACTATTGAAAGCAATCAGTCAGAAAAAAAGAGATTCCAGAAAAATCCCAAGCAAAAGATAGCTTCTGTGGCAATTAATTTAAAATGGACTTTCTGGTTAAAGGAAGCACTAGTATGAATAAGTAAAGTCGTTACACTATCAAGAGCTGATGCATCAAGAGGATATAACGCAGTACAAAGTATATAAAAGAAAGACTGACAGGACTGGTAAAGAGAATATTTTGTCAAGGAGGCAAAATACTAGGAATGCAGAACATCTGAATAATATAAATTGCTACAGTTGATCTAGTCAACATAGAAAGATCCCCAAATGCAACAATCAAAGATCATTCTGTTCAAGCACACACTGAATATTTACAACATCTGACTATTAACTAGATCATAAAGTCTCAACAAGTAACAACAACCAAAACTTTATATGACCACAATGCAGTGAAATTAAAATCAAGAGTTTCTATTTAAAAACTAAAAATCAAACAAAATCCCTACCATCACTACCACCAACCGACTCCCCCCCCCCAACACACACACGCTCTTCTAAATAATTCAAGGATCAAAGAAATCTTAATGGAAGTAAAAAATATTTGGAAGCAAATCATAATGAAAGCACTAGATAAAAAAAACTTGGTTGGTCCAATGTTTTAAATTCACTTTTTTAAATTTCTGCAAATATTTAAAAACATATTCATAGTCAGTTAAACACCCAACTCTTGATTTTGGCTCAGGTTATGCTCTCATGGTTCATGGGATTAAGCACCAAGTCAGGCTCAGTGTTGATGGCAAGGGGCCTGCTTGGCATTCTCTCTCCTCTCTGCCCCTTCCCCTCCCTCAAAATAAATAAATACACATTAAAGGAAAAACACATTCATTTGAATGGCATATCCACTAATTCTACCACCTAAAGCTCCTGGTAGCAGATTTTATAATTTCGGGTTTCAAACTCATCTGAGAGATTCCTCGTCAGCCTGGAAAAGGGAACTTCTGTGTAAAGAGACTTCACATTTGCCTCCGTCAGACATCCAGGAATATCCGCAACTCAGGGCCCGTTTGTACTAGATTTCCCACAAAGGTAGCAATGAATTGAAAAACGAACTGGAGATCAGCCCCAGCCCAGAAAAAAAAAAAGAAAATATCTTGCTGTCTTTCTTTCTTTGCCGGTGAGTGGATTTTTATTTTTCTACTCTTCCTAGCTCTCTGAAGAAGTCACTGCCTTCAGCAGGTATTTTTAAACTGGCCAAATTATTTAATATCTCTGAGCTTCAGTTTTCTCTTCTGTCTAATCAGGAGCATAGCATTTATCCTTTCAGATCATTGACTGAATAACCACACTCAACAAACACTTGTGGGTATTTTTTTAATATATCTTATTACCGTCCTAATGATGAAATTGAATTTTATTACATGTTGTAGATATGACAATTACTAGACTACATATACAAACTCTGCTACATAGATAAACTTTGATTAATTGTATAGAAGTAATAAAAGTGAAGGACTATGTATTATTTCTAGAAAATTACAATAATACACACATAAACACCTGTGCGTATGATTAGGCAAAGACTACATAAGTGCACCGGTAGTGAACCAGGTAGTCTAAGTGTAGAGACCTGAAGTCAAGGTGCTGGGGTACTAGCCTTGCTTCAGGCACTCTTAGCAAGTCCAAGCTTCTCGGGGCTGAATATCCAGAACATAAAAATTAAAGGCAGGATTTTGATCACCACAAAGATCCTTTATGTCTCTAACAGTCTCTGATTTTCTGTATCCACTCAATGTTTTTCTTAAATTTTTAAATGTTTATTTATTTCTGAGAGAGAGGGAGGTGGGGAGGAGCAGAGAGAGAAAGACACAGAATCCAAAGCAGGCTCCAGGCTCTGAGCTGTCAGCACAGAGCCCAACATGGGGCTCGAACTCCCCAGCCATGAGATCATGACCTGAGCCAAAGTCGGACGCTTCACTGACTGAGCCGCCCAGGCGCCCCTGCTCAATGTTTCTTTCTGGTTTATTTGGACAGTACTGAATTCTGTTTCATGAACTCTCGGCCGTCTGGTGTTTGTTATAAGATGATCTGATCACAACATGACATGCTTGGAAAGAAAATCAGTTTCTACTTTATTTTTATCCAAGAGAAGTGAGAAAGGGAAAAAAAAGAGGAAGACACACAATTCAGCAGTTAAACAGGAAAACGATAACCATGCACTCTGTATTTCGTAGTTTCTTTATGTGTTTAGACACTGTTTCACAGAGATCATTTGCTTCAACCTCAAAGAACTAGAAGAGTTACAGGGAAGTGTAACACCAACTGCGACACAGGTGAGGGTGATGTGCAGGAAGATGGCCAGGCTTTATCCACTTTAACTGATGACTGCTGGAAGCTACAGGCTCCTGGGTCTCCCGCCTCCCACTGCAGCGATCTACTGGGAAGTATCCCCATTAGATGCAGCCTTTTCAAAAATATTATAAATGGAGAAAAATGACAGGAGAGTTGGTTGTCTGAAATTCAAGGTTATCTTCTGGAAATGTTCCTACAACCTATAGGATCATCGACTACCAACACCTCAGTGACCTTCTTTCCAGGACCAGAACCCATCCGACTCTCGTTACCCTCACAAGACTCCATAGGTGTGTGGTTGTATTCTCTGTTCTCGCTCCCCCATTTGGGGTGGGAGAATTCTGGCGACGTTCGGAAAGCTGTCGCTGATCACATGCATCCAGATTAGCTATAGAGAGCACATGAAGAAGGCTTCACGGACAACAAATACCAAAATCTGCCAATAAACTGTCAAACGTTTAAAAAGTTAGAACATTTGGCTCCCTACGACAGTAATACAGCACTTTGCCAGGCAAAAAATAAAGCCAAGATATCACGGAATATTTGCTGGTCTGAAATAACTGCATATGTTGTATACTCACTTTCCGGCAGCCTCTTTCTACTTCTATTGTTCCAGAAGGTTGGGTTTGAGATTTCATCTTACAGATGTAGTCAAGAGGCCGCTCACAGGCCCTATCTGCCCAGTACCCATCCTACAGAAAGCAAAGAGGAAAAATGGATGATTATCGGCTGCTTGACTCTGAGGCCATTTTCTGGTCCTGGTGTCTCGGGAAGGAAAAACAAAGATTCGAGATTCTTAAGAGAAAAATGGCATCTCTGAAAAGGAAAGGCAAATTGACATGTTATAAGTAAACAGCAAATTTGACTCTGGCTACAAAGATGTAAAAAGAGATGGGAGCCCCAATAGGTTTTGATACTGTGGCTGTCTGTGCCGCTGTGTAGAAGGATCTAGAGAGAAACTAAGAATGCTTGTAAGCCCCAAAGTGATTATGCCAACGGAAGGTCTACATGAAGCATCCCCCGTCAGCTGTTTTTAAGTTAACCAAGTACAGAGAAAGCCGTCCAGAGAAACTCCCTCACCCAACACGCCAAACTTGGAAACACACCTTGAAACCAATCATCTCTCCTCCTTTTTCCAATTTGTAGTGAGGAGCGTCCTTGCGAGTCTATGGCTCCACTTCCCACCCTGCTTCAAATTCCACCTTCTCCCCCTTCCTCAAGGACTTCATATCAAAATGACCTCCCCTCTCCTTCAGGTAACTGCTAGCCCCCTGGAAAAATGTCTTCTCTACTGTCTGCCTCTAATTCCTCATTTCTCACTCAGTTGCAACCCACTGCCATCTGGTACTCAACCTTCAGCCAAAGTATTAGCTATAAACTGAAAAGTCGGTCTTGCCACTCCTGAACTAAGTCATATTTTCTCAACCTCAACACTCCATAGCCTTCCTACCTGCCTATCCACCTCTAACTCCATGCTTTCAGCCATATTCTCCTTCAGTTCTTCCTAAGAATGAGGCTTTCTGGTTTCCTCTTCCCAGGACACACTTCTGCCTCTCCTTTCAGTAGTTTATATCTACCCTCTTCTTGGGCTTTCTATTACTCACAATGAGGGGAGCCTGGGTGCCTCAGCTGGTTAAGTGTCTGACTTTGGCTCAGTCATGATCTCACGATTCGTGAATTTGAGCTTTGCATCAGGTTCTGTGCTGACAGCTAGCTAGGAGCCTGGAGCCTGCTTCGGATTCTGTGTCTCCCTCTCTCTCTCTCTGCCCCTTCCCTGCTCAGACTCTATCTCTCTGTCTCTCTCAAAAATAAACATTTAAAAACAATCACAATGAAAACAACCACAATGACAAAACAGCAGCTAATACTTATTGAACAATTGGTTTGGATCAGTCATGGTGCTTGTTATATGCATTAACCCATTAAATCTTTAGACTCACCGTTAAGCAGGGTACAATTAGTATGCCCTTTTTATAAATGAGAAAATAAGCTAGGTATCCAGACCCAGTCTCTTAACCACTGTGCTCATCACCCATTAATAAAAGATAATTTGATGATATTCTTCAGTCACTAACGTCCTATTTAGGACGTGGAAGCAATCGTCTCATATTTGACATCTCCATGTCCCCTAAAAGAACAAATGTAGCTCTCCAAGTACAGACTGCAGACCGTGAAACCCAGATCTAAGTGCATCTACTCAGAGCAAGCAGTCAAAAATCAAGCCAAAGCTCTAATGTGATCGGTCAAGTTGTACGAATAGCCATTTAGAACTCCCACAAGAACGGTATGAATACTGGTTACTGGTTAATTTCATCCTTGCACCGAAAGTGTCCACCTGCTGCTTTTCTAGTCCCCTTGAAAATTTGACTTTGCTAAACAATAGAAATATACGTAGATAGATCACCTAGACTAGAAACAACCTGAACAATAATATGGAATAAGTGAGGCAGAACAGAAAATACCCTGTGGCTTTTGCTAGGTATCAGCAGATAAATGTGCCTTACCTTGCCTTTCATTACAACACAATCTTCCTGCCTGTTGTTTTCATGGCTTGGTTCCCCCCGAAGCCATTTAGTAAATGTTACTGGGGTGCCATCACTCCACTCAAAATACATTTGGATCTTGATGTCATTTAAGCCAATCCATAACTCATCATCTTGCTCTAAACAGGAAGAAAAACACAGAAGCAATGTACACATGTTTTCTTTCCTAAAATCAGGAGATTAGCAGAAAGGAAGGCTCCCTGATTTATTAACAAAAGCTCTATTCCCTTAATATTATAACAGATAAAAGATCATCCTCTTGAGTGTTAATCTGAGATGTCAACTGCACTTTATGTTGTCAAGTGTATTCTTTACATTGTGGAAGCAAAGTGCATCTTTTATTGTGCAAGTGTGACTTATATCTCCTGGGACTTGCTAAAATGAGCTTTGTTCATCATTACCCTCTAGTCTGTGAAGTTACTTTTTTGTTATAAATAACTTTCCATACAAACTGCACTCATCATATTGGAAACATGACAGCTTACTTACATATTAATCTATTTGAGTATTATTAAATCTCATGAATGTTTTATTTTTTTTAATATTTTATTTATTTCTGAGAAACAGAGAGAGAAGGAGAGAGAGAGAGTGTGAGCAGGAGAAGGTCAGAGAGAGAGGGAGACACAGAATCTGAAGCAGGCTCCAGGCTCTGAGCTAGCTGTCAACAAAGAGCCTGACGCGGGGCTCGAACCCACGAACTGTGAGATCATGTCCTGAGCCAAAGTTGGATGCTTAACAGACTGAGCCACCCAGACACCCCTCATGAATGTTTTAAAGTACTACTAAAAACCACTTCTATTTTACTTTGTTGTTATTAAGAACATTCTGGATGTTTTCACTAACTCTTCATAACTATCCTAGGAGTGAGAAGATACATAAACTGAGGAGTTGAGCTGTCTCTCCTGACATTTAGGACTTATTTATTAGTCTATAAATATAAATGAATCTGCAATCATTTTGACCACAAAATACCAGAAAGACTCAACTAAATAACAAATAAACATTTAAAAAACCCAACCAGGTACAGACATAAAATGTCATCATTTTGCTTTAAAATTCTATGAACATTATTGATCTTATCTGTAGTTATAATTCTAAAAATTCTACATATTATAACTAAAATGGAACGACATGTAAGGCCTAAGTCTTCATGCCTAGAAACATATACATTTGCAAATTAAAAAAATTAATGAATGCACAATTCAATATCTGTTTAACTTGTACTACTGGAAATTTCATCATGAATACATGACTTTTGTTCTTTAGGTGGTAAAAATAAAATTACTTGCCAAAGGGCTCTAAAGATGATGTTGTAGTAGAAAATGAGAAAAATGCCACACTGTATAGGAATTTCCCTAAATGGTTTGGTCTCTTCCTCCTAAAAGTTGTCTCTCAACTTGCTTTTGGAGAAGTCCCTGATTGGCCCATTGCCAGACCCGGCAGATGTTTCCAGCACCATGAGGCATGGATGACCGTGCCAGAACGATCCCCTTTTCCTTTCACTTAATTTGGCAGATCGTGATCTTCTGGGCAGCAAATAGAGGCTTAAAATCACCTCATATGACCTTTCCTTTCAGGATTTAGGTTCAAAACTAATAAAAACCTAAGCTCCCCCTCTCATAAATAAATAAATAAAATAAAAATAAAACCCGAAACTTCCAAGTCCCACAATTAAAATAAAGTGTTGAGTTCTCACTAAATTGTGCACCCCCCTCTAGCTTTTATAATTCCTAAGCACGGCCTACACTCTGTAAAAATATATAATACACAAGTGTAAAAAGTTGTTAAACCAATGGTTATGAATCTGTAAGGGAAGTTGCCTTAGTTGAGGCAGTCATAACTTAGGTCTGTGAGTCCCAATTTCTCCAGTCCATTTCCACAATCAATATAAAAAATATTGAGGGGCGCCTGGGTGGCTTAGTCGGTTGGGCGTCTGACTTTCGCTTAGGTCATGACCTCACGGTTCCTGGGTTCAGGCCCCGCGTCGGGCTCTGTGCTGACTGCCGGCTCAGAGCCTGGAGCCTGTTTCGGTCTGTGACTCCCTCTCTCTCTGACCCTCCCCTGCTCACGCTCTCTCCTAGAAATAAATTTTAAAAATTTAAAAAAAAATATTGAAAAAAAAAATTCTCAGGGCGCTTGGGTGGCTCAGTCGATTAAGCATCCAATTAAGCTCAGTTGATTAAGCCGATTATGCCCTCTGATCATGGCTTCAGCTCAGGTCATGATCTCATGGTCTGTGGGTTCGAGCCCCGCATTGGGCTCTATGCTGACAGCTAGTCAGAGCCTGGAGCCTGTTTCAGATTCTGTGTCTCCTTCTCTCTCTGACCCTCCCCTGCTCTCTCTCTCTCTCTCTCTCTCTCAGAAATAAGTAAAACATAAAAAAAAAGATATTCTCTCAACTAGCTAGTTTTTCTAGGCTTTTGATTCAGAAATAAGAATTTTATAACATTTCTTTACTTTTATCAATATTATTTTTGCTGTTTTAAATAAAGAAGTCATGGGGCGCCTAAGTGGCTCAGTTGGTTAAGCGTCCGACTTTGGCTCAGGTCAGGATCTCCTGGTTTGTGGATTCAAGCCCCATGTCCGACTCTGTGCTGACAGCCAGCTCAGGGCCTGGAGCCTGCTTCAGATTCTGTGTCTCCCTCTCTCTCTCTGACCCTCCCCTGCTCACACTGTCTTTCTCTCTCTCATAAATAAATAAAAAACATTAAAAAAATAAAAGAAAGAAGTTGTATCCATGATTTAAAAAAAAGGGGGGGGCAGATTTCCCTAGTGAAAATTTATTAATTTCTCAGCTGAATTTAAACGCAACCTGTGTGTGAGGCGGTTCAAGATGGCAGCATGGGAGGATCCTGAACTAGCGTCCTCCCGTGCATACAAATCTATAGCTACATCTGGAACAATTCCTTCTGGAAGGAACCTAAGAACTAGTTGAACAACTGCTCCCTGATGAAAACTGAAAGGCCATAATGAGACAGGTAGGAGAAACAGAGACCTAGTCTTGCCAAAAACTCCACCAGGGTGTAGCGACCCACCATCAGCAAGGTCTCACAGATATGGAACTCCTCCTCGGGGCGAAGAGGTTTGTGTCTCACACCAGGCACCTCCACTCTCAGGAGTGTACTGGAGAGATGAGCCCCCCCAAACATCTGGACCAATGGGGCTTAAATCCAAGAGAACCATAGGGCTGTAGGGAACAGAGATTCTACTCGTGAAGGTGTCGCATGCACACTTATCCACCCCAGGGCACAGGAAAAAAGTAGAGCCTAGATCATATGCAAAGGAGATTCATTTGCTAATCCTAAAGCTTCTGCCAGAGAGGCAAAAGTCTGTTGGAACTCTCTCCAGAGAAAAAGAAAGTAACAGGGACCATTTTTACATTCTTCCTCTGCCTTGCTGGTGCTGGCACTGGTGGGCACCATTTTTGCACCATCCATCTGATCAGCCAGTGCCCACCCCACCACCGTGCTGCAGCCCTTCCAGAAGCAGGGGCGAGGGCCCCAAATCCCATCCCACGACTGCAGTCCCAGAAACAGCAGGCAGCACTCCACCTCTTCACAGCCCTTCCATGCACAGCCAGCATAAAAGATGCCCATGGAATCCTGTGCTCTGGTAGCAAAGAGGGACTGTGTGTTTGGGCTCCATAAGCCTGAAACAACTGGAGGGAAAGTTCAAGAAACAACTAATGAGCAAAGTAAAGTTAAATGGTAAGGATAATGCCCATACAGGGCCACCACTTTAATACAGAGAGATTGTTGTTTCACTCGATACACAGGATCAAACATAGAGAGTCAAACAAAATGGAGAAACAGAGGAATATGTTCCAAATAAGTAAAAAAAAAAAAAAAAAGAAAGAAAGAAAGAATAAAGAAGCAAGATAAAACCCAAGAAAAAAACTTAAAAAATGGAGATAAGTAATTTACATATACAGAACATTCCATCCAAAAACAGCAGAATATACATTCTCCTCAAATACACAAGACAGATCACATGCTAGGCCACAGAGTAAGTGTCATTAAATTTACAAAGGTGGACATCATGGAATGAAACCAGAAATCAACTACAAAAAGAAACCTAACATCTAACTTTATACCTAAAGGAACTAGAAAAAGAAGAACAAATAAAACCCAAAGTTAGTGGAAGGAATGAAATAAAAAATATCAAAACAAAAACAAATAAGACTAAAAAGACAACAAAAAAGATCAATGATACTAAGAGCTGGTTGTTTGCAAAGATAAACAAAACTGACAAACCTTTAGCTAGACTCAGTCATATAAAAAGAGAGAAGGTGCTCACTTTTGCACTTTTATTCAACATAACATTGTAAGTCCTATGCAAAGCAATTAGGCAGGACTAAAAAATAAAAGGCATCTAAATTAGAAAGGAAGAGGTAAAACTATCACTATTTGGGATGACATGATCTTCTAGACAACACCAAAGACTCCACCAAAAGAAAAAACCCAACAAAAAAAAAAAAAACCAAAAACCTCTTAGATTTAATAAATTCAATAAAGTTGCAGGATACAAATCAATTTGATAATAATCTGTTGCCTTTTTGTATACTCTAACAATGAACTATAAGATAGAGAAATTAAGAAAACAATCTCATTTTAAATTGCATCAAAAAGAATAAAATACTGGGAATAATTTAACCAAGAAGGTAAAAGAAAATTATAAGATACTGATGAAAGAAACTGAAGAAGACACAAATAAAAACATAGCCCATGCTCATGGATTGGAGAAAGCATAGTCTCCTTAGTAAATGGTTTTAGGAAAACTGGAAGCCACTTACAGAAGAATGAAACAGGATCACTATCTTATACTATACACAAAAAATTAATTCAAAATAAAAACTTAAATATAAGTCTGGAAACCATGAAACTACTAGAAGAAAACATTAGCAGTAAGCTCTTTGACATTGCTCTTGGTAATATTTTTTGGATCTGACTCCAAAGGCAATGGCAACAAAAGCAAAAATAAACAAATGGGACTGCATCAAACTAAAAAGCTTCTGCACAGCAAAGGAAATTATCAACAAAATGAAAACGCAACCCTACTGAATGGGAAAACACTTTTGAAAATCATATATTCATTAAGGGTTTATAGGTAAACTATATGA